GTCTTTCAGCATAGCTTGAAATATTTTACTCTCGGATTCTGACAGCAAAAAGCAAGCAAAAGCCAAAAGAAGTGGGCTGGCCATGGCCATTGTGGAATGAAATCCTTCCTTAAAATTGAATTTGTGATATAGAGACCTGAGCAAGAAACAGCAGGACTCTAAATGTTTCAGCAGTTGTACACACATGGCTTCCCAAAGTTAATACTGGGTTCTCTCTGTCCAAGAACAGGGTATTTTCTTCCAGTATATATATATATATATATATATATGCATCTGTAAGCCAGTCACATATGAAAACAATAACAAGGAATAAGGAAAAAGTCAATCCTCCAGCTGCTATTAAACTGGAGAAAAACAAATGGTCTGTTGGGGTCAGTTTCACTGGGAAATGAATTCGAGCAGAGTTTTATTGTCATCTCCACTAGATTCTTCATCTTATTTGCTTGCACCTTTAATAGTCATGACCGAGGAGATATTTACACTTGTGAGTTTAAGCTCCCTGGATCATTGCATTTGTTACCTTTTCAACATCAGCATTCCCAGTTGTCACAAATGCTACCTAACAACATTGAGTGCTCAAAGTACATTTCCCCTCATAACTCTAGGGAGTTTTGAATGTTCATATTAACTGCTTAAACTAGTCATAAACCAGTTAAGCTGGAGTACCAGCCAAATAGTAGCCATGCGATGCATAAACACACTTCTGCATGCATTGCATGTAAACCTCTTAATGCATGGGCACACAAGCCTACAGTTAATTGTAAGAAAACCTAACTCTTATTCAGTGAGGAATAAAGAAGAGTACGCATACATTAATCAAAACACCAATAAAAATGTAAATACACAGAGGTATATGAGCCATAGGATTTATCCCAAAATCACCGAAGCAGCATTTATTCAAGTTCTTAGTCTGAAAAAGTAAATGTGTGTTTTCTAAATAATAAATTATGGTAAGTTTGTGTTGCTGTTGATGCTTTGATATAATTTGTAAAACTTCGTTTTATTCTGAAAAGCTTCATAATGTGCCATTATTTGCTAAGCCATAGTACAAAATTGGTTGTGTTAGTGGGAGCTGCAGACATTTAAAGTGTCTGTACTCTTGTTCTGCAATCTAAATGTCATTTAATTTAAGAAAGGAAAATCTTGAAGCCGTTTGTGTCATCTTGGTCAAACCAAAGTGTGGGATGTGTTTGTCAGTCAATCCCATGTGTTAGTAGAGGAGTCATTTCTGGGCATAAGCAAAGAAGCAATTTAATAAGAGAGAGACAGACAGACTTCAGTTGTGCCGGGCAGCAGGCACAGCAGAAGAGCCAGACCACTTCTATCTGTTGGCATACAGCGAAGTCTGGTTTGAGGAAAGGCAGATTAGGGCTACAGCTGTGAGAGGTTGTGCCGAGCGGCAGCCCCTCCAGGCACAGGGGCCCGACTCCCTGCTCTGCACCCATCCACTGGGCTCTGCAGGGCTGGCTATCGGGGATGCTTACTTCAAGATTTATCCTTGATCCCTTCAACTCTGCTTGTTTCAGAAGGAGGGGTCCCAGTGCTGAAGTCATCCCAGGAGCAGCACAGTTTAGTTTTGCCTGTGCTTCAAAGACCTGTAAACCTGACATAGCACCAGGAGAGGAACTGCTGGAAAAAGAGGTTCTTGTGAGGGCTGTCCTCTCCAGGGCTCTGTTTTATCAACACAGAGACACAGAGGCAAATCAAAGCCAGCTATTGCTTGTAAAATCCAATGTGAACACACAGAGGATGGGAACAGCAGGAAAACGATGAAATCTGGACCTAGATATTGAGTCTGTGTTTTTTAGCATCCTTTGTGTTTCAATGTTGAAATGCTCTGATGATATACGAGATAGGGCAACAAAGATGATTAAGGGAGTGGAGCATCTCCCTTATGAGGAAAGACTGAGGGAGCTGGGTCTCTATAGTTTGGCGAAGAGGAGACTGAGGGGTGACCTTATAAGTGTCTATAAATATATAAAGGGGGAGTGTCACGAGGATGGAGCCAGGCTCTACTCAGTGGCAAACAATGATAGGACAAGGGGTAATGGGTACAAACTGGAACACAAGAGGTTCCACTTAAACTTGAGAAGAAACTTCTTCTCAGTGAGGGTGACGGAACACTGGAACAGGCTGCCCAGGGAGGCTGTGGAGTCTCCTTCCCTGGAGACATTCAAAGCCCGCCTGGACACATTCCTGTGTAACATTATCTAGGTGTTCCTGCTCCGGCAGGGGGATTGGACTAGATGATCTTTCGAGGTCCCTTCCAATCTCTAGCATACTGTGATACTGTGTGATACTGTGATAGTTTAGCAAAATGTAAAGAAAAAATAACAAATAAAGTAAAAGAAACAACCCCCAAAGCCCACAAGACTAAAAATTAAGCCACAAATACGTAACATTCCTCTGTATGCAAATAGTGTGGTTTATCCTCTGCAAAAATAACTGACCACCAAAATATCTGAATACACTGTTCCTTTATGCCCTGAAGGTTAATGCCTTAAAACTAGGTAACTTTTGTAATCCACGTAGTTAAAATGAGGTGGTTATTTAAACAGATTTGGAATACATAACTCAGGGGTTCAGTAGCTGTTGGAGTGTTCTGGTATGCGGCGTTGTGTTGCTGTTCTGCACATGGGGTCAAAAGAGCCTGAAACTCTGAGTCCCCTATGATTATATATCTCCCCTCTTCTTGTCCATGTGGTAGGATGCTGTCTCTTCCAGATACTCAGTATGTATAATTCCCAAGCAGCTTTGGAAACCCTAGGGATTAGAAAATGTATATGAATGTTTCCTAATGTTATTGATAACTGCAGAGCAGATGCTTTTCTAATAAACTGCTGTGAGATAAGTTACTGGTAGCATCTGCAGAGATGGGTGTAAATGAGCTCAAAATAATTAATGCTGTGTTAGAAGAAAGCTTTTTTCCAAAGCACATCTGTATTGGAGCAAGTAAGATTATTTCAGCCTGCCCTGAGAATGTGTTATAGCACAAATTACCATAATTTACTAAGGGAAAAGCCATTTCTGTTAATCATATATTAATTATTCATAAAATCTGTATTAATGTTACCTTAATGGAAAGTGTTACCAGCTGGGGTACTGGGCTTGGCAGTCTATTCCCATACAAAAAAAAAAGATTGATTGCTTGATTTAAGACATAAAAATGACTCACAAGAGCATAAAAGCAGCAAGCATAGGTGTATGAGTTAACACAGAGCTGGCTACGGTAGAGCAGTCCAGTCAGCTAACTGCTTTGTGTTTTGGCTCTAACACTGGTTTGTGCCTGAGTGGAATTCAAGTGGGATTACTGAAGGATGTTCATCACAAACCAGTCCTGTACGTTTTGCCCTAATGCTTTTCAGCTCTTCAGCAGGCACAGATCTGGTGAGTCTGAGTAAAACAGAAAAAGGCTCCTTCCCATTCTATTTAAAACCAAACACACAAACCCCTCTCCAAAGTATGATTTCAGTAATTTAAATTAGGATACTTTTACAACTCTTTAATCTTCTCAGAAAGCTATTGTGAACCATGTGCCCTGTGAAAATACCGCTTAGAGAATATGTTTCAACCCAGACCAAATGTGGAAGTGTGTATGTCCCTATGTGCTTGTGTGAGTGTATGTAGTGTTCTAGATGCTCCGCTCGGTTAAAGGAGGATGTCAGTACTTAGATGAGGACTCAAGACTAGGTGGTGTGTTTTTGATGAAAGTTTAGCAAAATAAAGCGTAGAATGAGCTTTCAAAAATTGATTTTAATTAAAAGTTCTTGGTTTCTGGCTTTTCTGGCACGCTCTTTTGCACGAAAGCAAACCCAAACAGAAAGGGCACTGGCTAAGGCTTGCAAACATGTAATGCCTGTAAAGTGCAACTAGTTTTATATGAACAGTAAAAGCTCCATAGGATTCAGCTGAAATTATATTGTTTAGATCAGCTAGAGCCTTTTATTAGGATAGCAAAATGCTGAATTTATAAACACATTTGTTTTACATGTTAAGATAAAAGGCTGTTTATTGGTAAAAGATTTTTTTTTGAATGACAGCTATAACCTTCAATGTGCGATCTGTAAGCTATCATCTGATGAATTCTGGCCAAAGCGATGGAAAGAGAAGCATTTGGAAAGGAAAGGCAACCCAAGAGAAACAGAAATAAAAAGAATTGAAAAGATTGCATAGCTTTCAGTGAGCCTAGGAAATGCAGGCCTAGTCTTGGAGCAACACATAGAGAGAGCTACAACACCCATAGACATGGGTGGTCTAAAGCTGAACTCATGTTCAAGAATCTTAGGTAATTATGGGGTTTTTCTGTAACATTGCTAGTACTTCCAAGTTGTGGGTAGTGGGTAAGTCTGGGGCATGCAGTCAATTGTCATGCCTAGCTGATTAATACAGATCAGAAATGAGGTTATTTTTTAGTCTGGATTTTTTTCCTTTGAATTTCATTTTCAAAGAAATGCGGTAAAGGAGAATTGTATATGGGAGCAATTTGTATCTGGAGAGCTTACCAAATAATGTTATAAAGGAGTCTGTATTCTGCGGTATGCTGATGGCTATTACTAGCCGTGGATACCAGGAACTCTTTGTATGTAATGCATCCCAGTACCATTTTGCACTTGCATATGAAAATGTTATCAGAGTTATGCAATCTGGTAATGATAATACTCCAGCATTACAACAAATAAGTAGTACTGATTTTTTGTTCTGTATTTTAGTATACTTAATGTATTTCATTGCTTACTCTGTAGTAGCAGATCGAAACCATCTGCTGTCTTGCCACTAGTCCTTCAGTCGAACAGAAAATCTCAGTTCATTTTCTTTGAGGCCAGTATCCTTTAAGGAATGTGTACCAGGACTATAATCCAGCTGCTGAATGTTGATACAAGTTCAGACCTATGCTCATATGAGTTTTTAAAGTGGAAACAACGCTCTTTGCCAAGGATTGGAACAGAGATAAACTCATTTTGCTTTTCTCTCTTCCCTCCTGACCCCATTCCCTTTTACAGCTCCGTCCCCCATCACAGTCATAAGGAAAGACAGGACGTCCAGGAACAGCGTGTCTCTGTCTTGGCAAGAACCCGAACATCCAAATGGGATCATCTTGGACTACGAAGTCAAATACTATGAGAAGGTGGGAAGAAAGATCAAAGGGCACGTTTTTGTGCTAGTAATCCTGTAATGAAATTATTGCATCTTGCTTGCATTAAGGATTCAGGGGCACCCTGGTTCATTCACTGTCTGCCTTAATGACATTAGGTGTTGAAACTGTTCAGTTTTTGGTAAGAAGCACATCATGAAAATGTGAAGTGAAATTGCTAAGCTGTGTTGTCTACCAAGTTCATCCCCAAACACGTCAGAACAAAAATAGGAATTAATGCAGCCAAGCCATAATACCTTTATTTTTTTCCTCTCCCTTGAGTACAGTTTGCTTACTCAGTTCTATTATGCTGTCAGTGTTCATACGTTTATTTGTCAGCATCCATATGCTGGGTCTTCCCTGTGGCACAATTATCTTTCACACAAAAATTATTGGGTAAAGAGATGGGTGATCCTTTGGGCTCGTATGCACCGTGAGAGTTCCTACTTTTCATGAATAACTGGATTCTTCATCAATTGTATGTAAATAACTGCAGACGAAAGACAGTCTGCCATTAAACAGGTTCTGCTTTTCACTGGCGTTTTCTTGTGTTTACAGCTGTTGATTTCTACATCCTATATAGATCTGTATATAGGAAAAAAAGGAATCTTCATAACAAAATGGGGGCTTTTAGTAAATCTTACTGGTAGAATTAAAACAAGCAGGAATTGTGAAGATTACGGAGGGTGGTATTAGCCATTTTTGGATTGATCAGAGAGACCTTTTGGTAGAACATATTGCTAATGAAGTTGACAAACTTTGGAAAAATGTCACAAATAATGGTTTAATTTACTTAACATTTACTAATGCTGTTCATATCTAGGAATCAGGCTTATATTTCATACGTACCAGGGAAGACATGGTGCTAATATCCGCTTAGAAACCGTGGTTAAGACGACTCCATGGGTATTCAGTTAATCTTTAGGAAGTTTTCTCATGGAGCTTAGCAGTGGTTCAATGTGGTATTGATAGTCCACACATGATCGTCAGCTGAAAGATAGGGATTGGAAGGCCATATACTGAAAAGATCTCTCCCAGATTATTACGCCATTTGATTTGGGGATGGTTGTTATGGTGAGCACTTGAAGCTTCAAAGACCTTGGTTAAAGTCTAAACATATCTACTGCTAAACGAAGAAGGAAACGTCCTAACATTTCAGTTCAGTTTCACCTTATAGAGCAGTACCCTATGGATTTTTCACTTTGGGGTTGTTTTATTTTTGCATCTTCAGCAGTGAAAGGATATAGGAATTATTTGGGAACACTTCCACATTTCTTAAGAAAAGATGTACTGCCTTTTAGTAGGGCTTGGAAGAGCTATTTACCTCACCAAGAGCCAACACCTGAATGACCCCAGAACTTCAGCCTGGTTTGCATGGGCCAGGTTGTTTCTCTGCATCATTAACTTGTGTTTCATTTGAAACCTACCTTGCTGCTGCTGGGGATATCCTTGTTTTCCAAGAGCTTCAGCAGCCCCTTCTGAGCTTAACCTTCAGTCTCCCCAGGTGTAAGTCCTTGCTTGGGGGGGTCCATGCAAGTGCCATGAAGTGCACTATCTATCACATGCCTATGTTGAGCATTGTGTTGAGCATTGTGGCATTGGAGCAAGTAAAACCTTGGGTTTTACTTGCTCCAAAGGGAGAGGATTTTTCCCCTTGTGTGCTTTTTAGTTCATTTTAATTAAACTGAGAAGTTTTATTTTTGTATTTGGGTATTTTTTTTGGCTGTGTTTTGAAAATTGTTCTGGACTGGAATTGGCTTCTTTCATTCCAGGAAATTGTCACCATTCAGTGCTGTCGTATGCACAGTCTGATATATATAATATATATATTATATATCATATATATATCATATGTAATAGAAGCATGCTTCTATTCCCACTGATAATATCTAGTCTTATGGAGCAACTGGTTGTCAGAAGACAGCTTCCTAAGACAACCAGTCTTAGGCTGATCTCGCACATGTGTTTCTTCCCTTTGAAGTCTATGATCAAGAGTTAGTATGCACCAGACAGCTTTCTTAAACCAGAGAGCCAACTGCTTGACAATAGGAGCCAGACCGTTTGGAGCAAAAAACCCAACCTTCTGACACCGGTGTTTTTAATGTGTGCTCTGTAGTCCCTTGGGAGTCAGAAATCTGTTCCTCAGGGTTTATGCCTAAGAAAAGCAAATCTATTGTCAGGAGGCTTTAATCCTATGGCTATTTTAGCTCTGCAGATTGCAAAAGATGGAAAACTACTTCTGTGTTAAACTTACCTGAGGCCAGAGCGGCCCATGCTTGGCTGTTACTCTTCCTTACTCCTCCAAACGCCTTTGGAAGGTGCTGCTTTTTAGTCTGAGATCTCTCAGCAGCCCCACTCACTTCTTCTTTTGGAAAGAGAGCTTTCTTTTTCAACTGGCCCCATCCATTTGATTTTCTGCTTCAGAAATCATCCTGGTTGTGCTCATCAAAAGCCCCGCTGCTGTTAAGGTTCAGCTGCTAGGAAATGCAACTTTTACAGTTAGCAATCTGCGTATTTATCCTGCCATGTCACACCTGATTGCTGATAGACCATTTATGCTGAGCCACTATTGCCCTCCTGTTTTATTTTTCTTATTTGCCATACCTTTTGAAATCCCTTAGAAATTAATAAATACAGTATTAGTAGAACAGTACAGCCCAATTCTGTCATATACCTTGCCCATGCAGTTTCCTTTTATTTCTTTTTTATTCTGCTAGGCTGTTCTTAAATTTCAAGGAATACGTGCTTTTTATGGGCAACTGCGTGTTACTGATATTCAGGATGTTAGAATAGATTTGGAATACAAATAGAATTTCCTGTATCTAAATTATGATATCATGCAGTTGTTCTAATGTGTTATTGGCATAAACTAAGTGGAAAATATTTGATTTCTTCAACCTATTCAGTTGTCAGGGTTGGTTTTTTTTCACCAGTGATTGCACTTGCGTAAGCAAGAGAGAATAGAGAGAGCTTTATATGGTGTTTCTAGAGAAATTAGGAGCTACAGTGTTGGGAAACTCTTTTAACTTTTTGGAATGAACTTATGGGGTTTTAATGGATAATATTATGAATGGAGAGTGGCAGTTTTTCAGTTTCAGTGTTTGGAATAGAATTGTATTTTGTGTAAAAATCTATAGGGCTCGGTTATGAGGCCCCAGTTGCTATTTATTCAAAGCATTTGAAAGAAAGAAAATCCTCTTTCAGATGAATACTGTATGGAACTTCTAGGCATTTATTTTATGGTAGGGCATAACATTTTATGTTAAGTTAATGGTACCAAATGACACCCCAGTTCAGACCATAATGCTGTGCTGGATTTTAAACATCTCAGCTGTCAAAGTCTACATATAAAAAAAGCCATATATATATAGATGTGTGTGTGTATATAGATGTGTGTGTGTGTATATATATATATATTACTTTTTTTCTTTCCTCCTTGTTGTTGCTCACATAATTATGTTCTCTGGAAGGAATATCTTTTCATGCAAAGATACAAAAAAAGCCATCTCCTAAATACCACACATAAACTCTTAATTGCTTCATATAAATAGGTGATTTACACTTATGCTAAAACCCACACACTTTATTTAGGTGAAATCTGCTGCAAACAATGAGTGAAATTTAGTTGCATTCTCACATTACTAAAACAGATTTGCCTTTGCCGTTATTGAAATCTGTGTGCTCAGTAGACTGGTTAAATCTGTCTAAATATCCAGTTTGTGTTCTTTCTGAGGCTGATAAAGTAAACTATATGCAAATGCACTTAGTTGCTTTAAAAACTCTTATTAAATCTGCCTTTGAGGGTAGGTAGCTATGTATGCTCCACAAGGTTTGTAGGAACTGGCATATTGATGAACAGTTCATGCTTGACAATAAGGTAAAGCAGTATCTGGACTGTGCGTTCCTCCCAAAGATGTGTAGCCTGGTTTTGGCCTCTCAAGTTCACACGCAGCTGATGGAGAAAATGTTCTTCCTCATATAATATAAACACTTACTGTGCTTATCTGTAATCTGCATACTGTTCACTCTCACTGCTGCTGCCGCTATAGATTTTAAATGTATCCCAAATCTGTCTTTCGTAAAACACAGTTTAAAATTAGAAAATGTTATTTGCAAATGAGACACAGCAGTGGGATTTGCTTCCCAGTAAAGGCTGTGTCTGGTAAACTATGCAGACATATTCAGGAAGAATACACTTTGTGTGTCCCAGTTCGAATTTATCATCAAAATGAGTGTTTGATTAAAGTCCTGCTTGGCAAAGACTGACTCCTTTTTGTATATTCCTTTTGCTTATGGCAGCTATAGCGTTGTATCTCTAAAGTTTTACTTCATCCCCGAGAATGATAAACTTGGGCTTTTATGTGGTGTTTCACTGATTTGATTACTGGTAAAATAAAAAATGACTTACGAAATATGTGTGTAAAAAGCTGGCCATAAACTAAGATACCATGACATCCTCCATACCATTGTTTTAAACATTTATTTTCCAAGTTCCATTGTGGATTATTAACAGACAGGCCATGACTATTTTTTCCCTTGCACGTATGTATCTGCACAAGAAGGAAATGTTTGCATTTCATAAAAGCAGCCTGAAGTGAGATCAAAATGAATGTGCAGTCATAACGTACACAAAAGGTTTGATGTTTTAAAGACAAGATTAGTATGTCTTTGAAATTAAAATAGTTGCCTGTGTTCAACTGAATTATGAGATAAGGAAATCCTGCAAATTACAATACTGGGCCTTTGTGAGGTCCAAAATAAATTCACACAAGCCTATATGCTCCTTAGAATGCATTTTCTCTCCTAAATTCATAACAGAAAACCTTTCAGAGTGTTGGGAAACTATGAGGAGGTCCAATGGTGATGTCCTTTTTACTTTTAGTATGCAAAGAAAATGGACCATGGCAAACATGCTTATAGTCATGCTTTGAAGATTGGGTGCAGCTCACCCTATCTGAGGTTTTGATTCCAGACAGTGACTTTTAGTCACTTGCTTAGCTGCTTCTCCCCCCACCCCATTCCCTTCACTGTGATTGCTCATGTGCATAATGGCATAATGTTGAATATTATGTGAAGACTGAGAATTTCCCTAACTGTGGTGTAAAGGTTTCTGTTTCTCTTTATATCAAAGACTGCCAAGCGTACTTAGGCTTCTGTAGCACCAAAGTGAACAGTTTCTGATATCCACCTACTAACTCAGACTAAACCTAACTTTCTTACTCCAGGCAGCACTGCAGAGCAAACACACTAAAACAACTCTAGTCAGTTGAGCTTTTCACATGGTGGTGGGATGGCTTTGACATTGAGTTATGTTGAGTATTTTCCAACCTCCGTACTTGTGCATCGGCATTTTACCGTTGTCAAAGCTAAAATGTCAGTACCTTACAAGCTAATGCAATGCCATAAAAGATAGTAGGAATTAGATGAGATTGTCTGCATCCGACATGCATTAACATAAGGCAGTTTCTGCTTTCAACCAGGCAAAAGTCAATGGTATTAATGTATGTCAGAGTGTGCAAAGTAAAAGTGTAGCATATGAAGTCCCCAGCACCTCCAGAATAAAAAAGTTCATGGTGGGGAACCTAAATAACCGGGATTCTCACAGTTCCCCACATGTGTGGCTGCTGTCCAAGATTTTTCCTGAGGCAGTTCCAGCTGCCATTTTTAGGAAGCCAAAAATGCTCTTTTGGTACAGGATGCCTTTAGTAATATAAGCAATACCTCAGGCTCCAAACGCATGCTTAAATTTTTAGGCTAGGTGCTTACAGTGGGACTGAGACTTACTTTTATCGGGGTTAGCTTTTTACACAGTGTGAACTTGGTAAATTACAAAATGGTCAGTTTCTTATTTTATATAAAAAGCCATTATGCCAGAAATACATGACTTTTAAGTGTGTGAGAGTGTATCATCTGTACTGGACACGTGCCTTGCTCTTTAACAAAAAGCAGTAAGGAGAAAACATGTTTCCTTTCTGCCTGCTAAAGCCAAGACTCATTCAAGAGTAAGTTTTCAGTGGGGTGTTCCCCAAATGAGGATGGACTCATCAATCTCAGTTTTTATGGCATAATAGAAAACCAATTATACTCTCCTGTTCGCAAACCTGAGGTGAGGAACCTGAGAGGAGTTTCTTTTCTGACGGTTATAAAGGTAAATGCTGTCTTGTAAAACGTGAGGCAGTAAAAACTGCATCCTGCAATGGCTCTGCAGGGCCCTAAAATGTCTAAGTTGGACTGTTACAACTTCCAGTTCAGTGCAGAAGGCAAATCTGGTTTATGACCTTTTTTAAGTAATATTTTAATCTTCATTTTCTTGTTGTATTACAGACGACGGACAAAATGATGCAAAGCCATTTAATGAAATGTCATATACTCAGCATGTCTAGTGTTTGATTTACAGCAGAAGGCCAGAGGAGCTCTAATGATTTAGGTTTCTCCTTAATCAAGAGATTTGTAGCAGACTGAAAATGAATGACTGCACAAGCATTTGTCAGGCCATAAATATTCAGATAACGTGCCAGTGCTCTCCAGGTGACTTGTAGTAATTTTGTGCCAGCCACCTCTTCTTTCTGTTTTTTTAGAGTTTGGTTTTAATCTGATAATTCCTCTTCCCAAAAGCAGGAGCAAGAGACGAGCTATACTATCCTGAGAGCCAAAGGCACCAATGTCACCATCAGTGGCCTCAAACCTGATACCACCTACGTCTTCCAAATTCGAGCCCGAACTGCAGCTGGATATGGGACAAACAGCCGCAAGTTTGAATTTGAAACCAGTCCAGATTGTATGTATTTGTTCAAACGGCTTATACTGACATCCTGCCCGGTTGCTGAGTGATTTGAATAGCTGCTTTCGCTCCTTTTCTAGTTTAGTAAATGCAACTCACAACTATTTATGATTCGTCTTTCTGGGTAGCAATACTATATAACTTTATATTTTATCGTTAAACTTGAAACATGCTATAAAGTGTATACCATGACTATCACAGGTGGTATTTTCTTTCATTCCCTACTCGACCGCTGCCTTGTGCCAGAATCGATACCTTGCTAGACCACGGCTCCTGCCAAGGAAGGAAGTCTGGTAGAAAAACAGATTCACAGCCTCACACTATTCCAAGTTTGTGGCCTAAACCCCATGGACTATAAACCCCTGCTCTTAGAGAATTAATATTATATTGGTCCATTACTCCTGCGGGTCAGTGTGTAATTCACCACACTATTGCAGAGCATTGTTGATGTCTCCTGGGTAGCCTTGAGATGAAACTAATATGCACAGGTCAGGAAGGATAGTCATTCAGTTAAGTAGCTGGTCAGGCAGTTGGGCTGTTTGGGTCCCCCCTTCTTCCTGTTGCAACACTTCTGGGTGGCCTTTGGGAAGATATTTAGTTGTCTGGTGCTCCTTTTTTCTTTCCTCTGATGCCTAGATTTATTTAACTGCTTTTATATTATCTAACTGATGTACTTATAGGTATTGTTTATAAATTCTGTTACTATGCCAGAATGACTCTTAATAGAGCTCCAGAAAGACTCCTAATGGGAGTCAGTCTTGAGTGTTAACTTTCTCATCACTTGATACTAAGTAAGTCAGACCTTCTCTTTGCTAGAAGCTGAAAGTAGATTAATGCATCAAAAAGTCAGCCTTTGCTTGGGTACCCAGTTTCTGATGTAGATTGATGATGCATAATCAAAGACTTTGCATTTTAGAAGGCTGGGCTTTCCCAGAAGAGCTGCTGTTCAGAGTTGTAACACAACTAAGGACTGTAATTCTGATATGCTCTCAGAAGGCTTATTCATATACCCACGCAAAGGCTTGAGAACCCATGGTATAAAAAGTGCTCTGCTAAAAGTGACAAATTTTTAACCAAGAAGAGTAGCATGAATCCAAATGGTCTTTCACTTGGCATCGTGCATTTTTGAGATATGTATTTCATCCCCATTTATTCCTCCTCCATTTTAGCTCTTACTCTGAAAAGCAAACAAGCTTATTGTTTAAAAAAGATCCAGATCTCTGTTGCAGTAACATGCAGCTTTGGCATACTGGATGAAACTGGAACTCAAAATAGGACAAACAAGTCCAACAAGGAGAAAAAAAACAGTTGCAGTGGTAGAGCTTAATGAATTTTCTCTGCAAAGCAATATTAAAAGAAAAAAGGTAGCTGTCTGATAATGTGGAAGGTGACAGGAGGCAGTGGTGCACATCTCAATAACAAGTGTGCAAGTTACACAGACAACAAACTGCATGACTTTTTTCCTATTGCCAAGTTATCATAACAACAGGAGTGCAGTTGTAGGTCTATAACAGGCAAAGGCTTCTTCCCAAGGGGAATTGTGTGACTCCAAGCAGTCACATACCCAAATTGTCTTATCTGTGGGGACAAGCAGTGCTAACTTTCAGCATTCTTTGGACAGCTAACTTGAAGAGTAGAGCTGAGGAGCCTAATTCTGCTGTGCTTGGTGAAGTTCAGGTGTCTGCTGAAGGTTGTTCATAACACCTAAGATCTAAAGGTGTCCTGTCATTGCATAGCAGTCTAGCACACCAGAGCTCCATGCTTAGGGACCAAAGGGAAGCATCCAGTGTAAGGTAGAAGATAGCCCTTCGTTTTCCTATAGACACTGATTAACCATGCATAGTTCTCTCTGCCTCTGTGTGCCCTGCTTTTTGCAACCTTCACAGAGATATTGTCAAGCTTAACTGGAAAGCTTAATTCATTAAAGCACTTCCCATCATCCAGAAATGAGAATAAGGGTGACGATTATTGACTGGCTGGGATTTCTTGCCAAGGAAAAGTTCCTTACTGACCATGACAAAACATGTGTATGTTATGGTATGTATGTTTGTGTCTAGATATATGTTTATATTTAAGTGTCATTTTAACAATCAGCAAGAGTAAAAACCTGCAGTAGTTGAAACAACTTTGGTAGATCATCAAAGATGGCTGGAGTCTTTTGTTTTCTTCCCTTGTATTTATTTGTCTGATGAAAAATTACTTAGTAGATTAAATCTTTGGCAAGGGACCAAATGCTATGTAGTGATGACTTTGTTCCATATACAAGTGTCAGTTGTGGTGTAATCAGCATTATGTTTTCCAGGGGTTATTTATATGTTTTTGTGTTAACTTTGCAGCATTCTCCATTTCCAGCGAGAACAGCCAGGTCGTAATGATTGCCATTTCAGCGGCAGTAGCCATTATCCTCCTCACAGTTGTGGTGTACGTCTTGATTGGGAGGTTAGTTTTCATCCTCTGGTTTGCACATTTGCTCCTGCTTCGATTTCCCCCAGGGGCCTTGATGAGCATGGCAAATTGGGTGTCATCGGGCGGTAGCATGGCTTGTTTGTACCTCCTCCTTTCTCTGCTGCCCAGGAGCTCTGAATGCCGCTTCGTGTTCAGTAATGAGCCCGCTAAGGTTAGCAGCCCCAGTCATACAGCAGTTGTTAAAAAATGCTATAAACACATTCTTAGGCAATTGTAAAATTAAACTGTAGGGGTCAAAAATCAACAAATCCTCTCATTAGCCAATTTCCTCAAATTCCCTGAGAATATAACATGCCTCTATGAGGACAGAGAATGTAAATATCATTAAACTTTCAAACAGGCATTTAATTGTGGAGGAACAAACATTTTATTCTGTTTCCACCTGCAGTTAACGTATAAATTTCTCCATTTTTTTTCCCCTCTGTTGCTTGTAGATTCTGTGGATACAAGAAGTCTAAGCATGGCACTGATGAGAAAAGACTACATTTTGGGAATGGCCATTGTAAGTTACCGAAGCCTTTGAATGCTTCCAGATCTGTTGAATGCATCCCCTAGATAACTGGTATTTTTCAAATTAAAAAGAAAAAGTCATACCTCACTTAAACCAAGGTGAAATTGGGAAGAGAATTATCGCTTCTCTTGTGGGTAGGGAGATTTTCCCCAAACAATTATTCTTTGTTTCAAATTCTTTCGTATGTGTTCAGAGTAGTAATGAGCAAAACATCGCTATGTTCAAGCAATGCGTGTGGTTAGTAATGCAATATCGATTCCTGTGCGTTACTGAAACGCGGAGTGTAACTTCAGCTTCCTCATTATGAGCTGTATGAAGTCTAAGAGATGTCATTTTCTTTACAAAGCAAAATATAAAATCAATGAAACCTGTCTCAATGACTACTGAAGGGACGGTGAAAATTACTCGTTTGACAGAGCTGACCCAATAATAGTTTGGAATTATTCTAAGCGGTCTGAAAAGTGACGTGGAGTAGTTTCTGAAATTAAGAATAACTACGTGACATAAGCAAGTATGTCACAAATTAATGGGAACTTTTAATCCAGCTCTCATTTCAAACGTGTTTTTTCAAGTCCTGATTCTCCTCTTGCAAGAATGAGTATGTCTGTGCTTTCTCTGGTCTCGTCTAGGACTGACAAGAGAGCCTTTCTATTGACTTCCCTTGTCTTTTGTATGTAGTTCAGGATGTGAAGTTTTGCTCATCCTGAGGAATCTGGGTTACTTTTGAAATGTGTTCAAAAGCCAAACCTGAAGCCTATCTGTTTCTGATGTTTCACTGCCTATTTTTATTAAGGCTAAATGGGACTTTATTCATGGCTATTCTGGGTCAGTTGGCTGTGCCCTCTGGAAGGAACAGCATGGAGCAAGATCCTATTCAGCGGACACTCAGGGGAAGGAGTGTTGATTTTCTGAGCCTGGGCACCTGTACTGGCTACCAGGAAGAAGCAGCCTGCTGTGGCCCATGGATAGAGGAGAATGTCATCCTGCAGTATTTCAGCTCCTCTCTGATCCCGTATTCTCTCTGCAGTGTACATAATCCTGCAGCACTTTTCCCCAGCAGAGGAGATGTGGTTTGTGAGGACTAGAAGCTCCATCCATACCTTCTTTAAAGAAGGAAGAAAATAGTTTTGGAGCAGGAGAAGTTGAGGGGAGGGGAAGGTGATGGTTTAACACTCCTGACTGGGGAGGGGGGGATATTCTTGGGGGGTTTATAGTTGCATTTGGGTTACTTTTCATCTTTATGGGGCAAAGATAAAGTCCTTCATAAACGCCAAGACTGGAAATTCCTTCTTTTTTTCTCACCCACAGAATTCTTGGTGTCTAATGAGCATGTTTTTACTAAGGAGCAGTAGTTTGTCTTTGAAACTGTTTAAGCTCCGCATAAATACCCTGCTATACCATGCAGACCACGTTGAATCTATTGCTTAGCATGTTGTAAGGTTAACGTGCATGGGTTTTCTTCACGCAACAGTGGCGCTGTACCGTTGGCAATAAAAGTGCTCTTGGTACCATAATCAGATGCCTCCCCACCGAATATAATTGAGTTAACATTTTAACGAGGGATTTACCTGCAGTACTTGGAAATTAGAGCTACTTCCTAATCCCCGTGACAATGGAGTAACTGTTCTCTGACTGTTCATATTATTATTATTCTAAGTTTGGAGCCCCTCCTTATCTCCTGAGAGCCATGAGCTTGTATATCCACAACATGTGTGCTCCTTCCCCTGCACTGTCAGGGGATACACAAGCTGTACCAGTGGGCTTTGCGTTGTGCAGCCCAACAACTGCTAACCAACTAGTCTCAAAAAAACCCTATATGGTTACATGTGGCCCATAGAATTAATGCTTCATCATCCAAATTTAATGAGGTTATAAAATAAAAGCAGCCAGTAAAAAAAGTGTCACAGACAAATAACAGGTCAAAATTTGCTCTCCTTACTCCCACACAATGGAAAGTTGCAATCACTATTCTTAAACATGTCAGTGCTGTTAAATTCCTGCGGATTAAATTGCTTTTAATTTGGCTTCAGATATTTATGTACTGTTTTCTGAGTAGTGCCATGCTGATTCACTGTGTAGTAAGAACAGAGCTGACCATGGTATTTCTGTTAGAACTCCTTGGAAATGATTTATTGATTTTTGCAGATATTTGTGTTGGGATTTGTATGCATGTGCATGTGTGGCTGTTGAAACTTTATTCTACCAAATTGCAGTCTTTCTCAAAGAATAAGAAAATTGCTCCCATGAACTATAAAAAAAAGGATAAAGTAACTTCCATGGCTGTCGTAAACTTTCAGCATCTTAAATACAGCAGCTGGTTTATTTCAGTCGGTTTATTCTGAATTACTTTAAAAAAGGCTCCAGCCATGACCTATTCCCTGCAGCCTTATTACAAATCCTATAATATTGCTTCAAAGGAGCAAAAATGTTTCACCTCCTCAGATCCTCTCCCTCTGCCTTCTCTGGCTAGGCCCTTTTTATTTTTTTGCTACCTTTAGGGCAATTCATGCTGTTAAAATGAAAATGTAAATTATTATGTTTGCGCAGAATGAGCTGTAAAGTAGCGCAGCTTAACACATGTGCATGTGTTTATTATCTGTTTTTCATGACAGAACCCAGTTACTATACAGGCTGTCCTTAATTATTGGCGTGAAGGGATTATTCTCCTTGCAGTCACCCATCACCTGGTCTTGGGAACCTCTGGGGTCAGCGTTAAAAATCTCCAGCCAAAAACCCCACGGTGCAGAAGCTTTTAATTATGTTTAGTGGGGGTACAAGGGAGCCTGTAACGTGCATCCAGCATGGACGGAAAGGAGCATTTACAAGATTTCTAACCAACAGCAATATACAGCCAATTACTTTTTGTTTTACTTGCAAGTAATTCTGTAATCATCAGGCTCTTGAAGGGAAACGCAGTCGGCATTTAATGCTGCGCGCACGCAGTCCTTGTGTTAAGAGCATGGCTCTTGGTTTGCATTGTTATTGAGGCAATTAACTTGGGAACTCACTTTTATCATTTCTCTGTCAATCCTGAGGCCAATAAATCTCCATCAAATCGATTTCATTTATATATTTGTTTATTTTACGTACACTGGGGGTTGTTTGACAAAACGATGGTGGGCTCTAGCGAATGGTCCAAAAGTGCTTTTTCCCCATCTGTGTGACCCAAACAAAAAAGGTTTAACTATTCTGGTAGTGAACAATTGATGCAGTATAATAATGCCAAGCTGGAACGGATATTCCTGAGTGGGTTAAGGCAGTGTTTGTAGGAGGAGGTGATACCTTTTACGAGACCAACTGGTACTGTTAGACAAATCTAGAATACATACCCAGGAATGCAGGTTTTTTTGTCAGAAGCTGAAAACTTCAAGCTGGATGTAATGATTATTTTACTTTTTGTTAACAAAACACCTTTGTGTTCTAAAATGAATACAGAGGCAGGCACACAAAGTACTGGGTACATGCGCAAGCAGGGCCTTGATCTGGGGAGGAGGAATGAGGCTATGCTTTACCTTCAGCATCTCTGCTTGGGAGAAAGGTTATGAATAAGAATACATTCCTCCCATCCCCAGTCCTGCTAGAGGAAGAGATGTGGAGAGCTTGAAACTGCCCTTAAAATTGTTCAGTCATTTGAGCTTGAACTTGCCCCAGGCAAAATGAACAACCCCTGGCCAGAAAACTGTAGAGGGGGATAATATAATAACATGGATATTAGGGAAACTGAGCAGTGCAACCAGACTTTAATAATAAGAACAACCGGCTGCCATCCTTGTATGTGCTAGCAGAGGGATTAAGGCAGAGATGCATTTGTTCATGTATAATTTTCTTTTCTTATGCACCTTAGAATCATAGAATAGTTAGGGTTGGAAAGGACCTTATGATCATCTAGTTCCAAACCCCTGCCACGGGCAGGGACACCTCACACTAAACTATATCACCCAAGGCCTTGAAGACCTTGATGGAGGACTTGGAAAGAAAAAGCTTGAGTTGATGTGCTCTCCTTAGCATATTCCTAAGAACTTTTCAGGTTTTCTGTAGCATCACGCATTTTGTTTCTTGTCTCTGCTGTTACATTGCTAGGGACAATATATTGCAGCATCTAAATACAGCAAGTTGGAATAGGTGGGTAGTATTTTAATATTTGAAAAGCAGTTAAAAATGGCAAGCGCAGACATATTATAAATTGGTTTTTAGGCTTCTGCGCATTAGTGTCTCTGGCTTTACACAGTTTGATTTGGAAAAGCTGTATACCTCTTTTTTCTATTGATTTGATTTCTGCTGTCTCATGAGTGTTCTTGCGAAGGATTAATTAAGTCTAAGTAACATTTTCTCTCTGAATTTGTTTTTACACAGTGAAACTCCCAGGCCTGAGAACTTACGTCGATCCGCATACATATGAAGATCCTAATCAAGCTGTGCATGAATTTGCCAAGGAACTAGATGCTTCTAATATCTCCATTGATAAAGTAGTTGGAGCAGGTAATGATGAGCAGATTTAACGAACTAAAGGGTTTTGCTGTATCTACTGTTTTACTTGTGAGTAAAAAGGAAGCTAAAGTGTTCAGATTTCATATTTACAGCTGATTCCAGTGCATGTGAAAACTTAAGGGGATGCAGTTCTTTTTCATTGTTCCCAAAGAAAGCAGGTAGCGAGGCAGCTTTTCAGACACCCGTTAGCCCACACTTGGATGTAGCACTTTTGGGAGCGAAAAGAGTTCAGCCTCACTTCTTAGGTTTCTCTTTAAAATCTGTCAGCACAGAAAATGGTATCAACTGTGGAGATGTTTTCCTTTTCTTCAAAAAAAAGAAAGGACTGTTGACTGTTATGCCTTGAATGAAACCACAAACTCATTTCATACCAGTCACCACTCATCCATCAGCCTGCAATGACCTTTGGTCATTGGATTGATTTTGGTCACTGCTTTGGATTTGAATTATCGATTTAGGAGGAAAGGGTTGTCTGTCTGATAACTGATTGTCTGAGCCATACAGATGCCATAGGTTGTTTGGCTTACAGAAAACAAACTGTCGAAATGAGCAGATTTTGTAGCAGAGGAGCCAGATTACAGAAAGTCCCATCACACTGAGTTGTCCATGTTGCAGTGTGGCATGTAGTTCCTGATAGGACATGTGCTTGCTTCTTGAAGTGGCAAATTGTCTGGCTGAGTCAGAAGATCATGAAGTGGTGGCTTTCCTGCTAAATTAAAGCATTTGTGAGAAGCACTATTGATTTTTAATCCATTGAAAATTACTAATTCTTTTATTATTGATTTTTTTGCTTTTCTCTAAACTTATTACTTGAATTAAAATCAGGAGATGTGTGAGAGACAGTCCCCTAGTGCACAGCAAAAGGTTTCCAGTTGGAAACAAATATAGAACCAAGCTACTGAACTCAGTGCATCTCCTGAATCACCCAGTAAAAGAAATAGTATTCATCCTCTCTCACTGCAGCTACTCAAGTGCTTGTATGAAGTTAGGTTATCTTCTGCAAAAGTAGGGGTTTTGTTCCTTGCTGGTTTCAGTTTTGGCCCACAAGAGTGCACTGTTCTCCATCATCTTCATTCAAGGCGGTGGAGCTCTGCTTACTTAATAGAGAGTTAGTATGGAGGTAGGGAAGGGGGTTCCTGAAAAGCTAAATCCAAAAGCTGCATTTTTCCTTAAAAAAACTTTCAGGAGCCTTCGTTCACAAATATAAGCTTTCCACACTTGGGCTGTGTGCAGTACATGAATCCAGAAAACAAACTCATAAGAATCAATGGTATTTCATATTTTATAGCACATTGTTCTGACCTACCCAAAAAGACATAAGAATGAGAGGTAAGCCCAAACCTGTCAGCTATGACCTCTGAAAATGGAGAAAGAGTTTTCTGAGAAGCTTCAGAGAAGGGATATGTTCTGTAAGAGTCAGGTGGTTTAAAATGAAGTCCCTTTGTTGCACTCCAGTAAAAGTGATGGTCATTCCTGCAGGTCCTCTGCATTGAAGCTTGGACTCAAAACATGATAAAGCCATTTGTTGGAGACCCTTTGTCAGATTCACGTAGTCTAAGCTACATACGGCATTACGGTTAGCATTTCCTTTTAGCAGTTGCCAGAGTTGCCAGCACAAAGAGCCATGCAGGAAAAAACAGACAAAAATCATGATATGGAGTGCTGGGAGCTTCCAAAATGTGTTTGTAGCATCACTTTACACTGCTGCCACATTCAGCACGTGGTGGTTCTTGCATTTGGAGTGAATGCCTCCGAGGCTGCTTCTTTCCTTCCCAAAAGCAGAAAGGCATTTCCTGTCTCTTACTTGAGTCAATGACTTATTTGAGTGGATGACTTGGTCTTTTCCTGCCCTTCTCCTTTACAAATGCAAGTGTGAATAAAATTATGAGAAGACAGTGATTTGAGAAGAAGGGATTCATTTAACTGTGTTGAAGTGTGACGTAAGTAATGAGACCTTCAAGTCAGGCAAGTAATCTTGATACTCTGAGGTCCTTTTCCAGGCATTTTTTCACAGCTTTAGCCAGAAGTCTCTGAGAATAGAGGGCAGCTTACACAGCTTTGAAAACATACCCAGACACAATAAGGAAATATTCTTGTCCAAAAGAACCTCAAGGAAAACACGAGGGATTTTAGTGGGAGGCTAAGCATAAGAAAATTGAGGTCAGGAGCCACTTTTTCAGATTTTTCTTTTAAGTAATTCTTTCTTTTAAAACAACTTACTTGTTTTTATGGATCCAGTTCAGCAAACCACTTAAGAAGTTTAAATCCAATTGGATAGCAAGAAAATGCTACAAAAAAAGTACTTTCTTGATGTGGGATAGATTTACAGATGTGCTTTGCTGAACATGAAAGCCAGCTTTTGTTTTTCTTTCAAAGTTTAAACATACCTGGAACATGACATCTTCTTAATCAAAGTACTTTTGAAATTGAGGGGCTACCTGTCCATGAACTTATGATGAAGGTTTGGAGTGTCTCAGTGAAGGCTTGTAGAACATTGCTGACATTCATGAGGTTTATGAAACGGTAAGTTTAGGTGCCTCTCCAACTTTGAGGGAGTTCTGTGCGCAACAGTACAATCATGATCTGAAACACAGCAAAGTAAAGGGAGTAGCTAATTTCACAGTCATCTTTTACTTGTCCCCTGGGTATCAATGCACAGCAAATGCCATTCACTGATGCACTAAGTAGCCCATTTAAAAAGAAATTAAGATCTCCTGAAGAGTGATCTTTATCGCATGAACAGCCCTCCTAATAATATCTATTTGCTTTCCAGATGTAAATAGACATATCAGTCTGCAGGGCAGGTTATGCAGTGTTTATGTGTGAGTATAATCAAAAATAAACACTTTAGAAAGGCTCTATGTGAAAATGTAGAGCCATCAAACTCATCTCTTTTTGGTTTTCTACCTTCCAACTTGGACACAAGTCCTTATTCCTCCTAAACAATATCTGATGAGATCCAGTCCATTTCTTACTGGGACCATATAGTAATGATTTGCAGGAAGAAAAGATATAGTGTAACTGAATGTCATTATGGACGTTGACCAGGTAGGGTTAGGTAGCATCCGTGCTGCCCTGTATATGAATGAACTGAAGGTTAATGTGCCCAGTGAGTTTTTTCCAGTGAAATTGTTTTCCATTTTATATTGACAGGCAAGAGTAAGCTCAATTGCTATGAAGGCTCCAACTTTTAGTCTCTTGCTGCATCAACTGGCCTTGAGGCATTTGTAGAATCCGATTAATCACCCAGTTTCTAAACTGTGCAGCCGTGGCTGAAGGGACCGTGTTGATGCACATTAGCCGTAATCTTTTCCTTCCCAGAAGTCAAACAAATATCAGATATATGATTCCAGTTGTAAATGAAGGCTTGATTCCCAGACTGTTTGCTGAAATCACAGCTATAGTCTTCGTTGACCAAAATTGAACAATAGTTTTAAGAGGTTAGCATTTTTTAGCCTTTTTGACCATTAAAATATAGAGAACAGAAAATACGAAGCTGGACAGTGCAAGATTTATTTCAAGCACTTTTTCCCCTTCCTTCTGCTTTCAAGATGTGCTTTAGTCTTCCTCTTTGTAGTTCTCGGATAGTGTTGAGCTGGGGGTTAGTGTCTGAACTGTAGCAGTGTTTGTGCTTGGTAAAGTATACTTGTCATTTTGGTTTGCAGAGATTGAATAGTTTTAATTAAGAAGTCTGAACAGGATTCGACACCCATTACTTACTAGTAATAGGTTTTACAATTCATTTTCTGAGCTGCTGCCTGTCTTGGCAGCATGAAATACAACTAATGTTAGAAACAAAGGATGCAATCTATTTTAGTAGTATATATGTATTTAAAGATACATACTCTGAGTTTAATTTTCTTTATTACATTAGTACCAGATCAGCATGCCTGGAGGATGAAGCACCTCAGCAATTGGTGATAAGATATGGTGACTTTCACTTCTATGTTGACTTAAATCTAGCCTGTGTTAACAACAGAGAAAGGTCATTGACCTGTGACACATTTGATCAGGTGTTTTGTTTAAATTGGCTGTCTAACAGAGAAACCATATAAAATAAAGCTGAAAAGTGACCTCAGGAGGTCATGAAGCCCATACCCTTTCCCACCTTCTTGGGTACTGCTCTTGACAGATGCTTATTTATAATCTACAAGATAAGAGTTTGTAGACTCCATAAAAAATCTTTTGTACTGTCCAAGTGTCCTTACTGTTTGAATTATTTTCCTGATCTAACTGAGCTTTATTGTAACTTGAGACTATTCTTGGGTTTACCTTTTCTGCATAGAATAAGGAGCTGGCGTCCATATAACCGTAATTTCAATAAGCCTAAACTATTGTCATCTCTCTCTCTCATCTCATTCCTTGTTGTGAATAAATAATGCCAAGTCCTTGAGCTTTTGAATGCGGACACACAGCCCTGACTTTTAAGGCTCAGGTCATTGTTCTTTCCCCCTTTATCATGCCCAAATTGCGTTGCTGCATACGAGGCATGAACTCTACTGCAAAAGAATAATTTCAGTTTGCAGATGAATGGGCTGAATGTAACATCTCAGATGTATCCCATGTGGTATCGCATCTGAAGTCAGTAGTGAAGGGCTATCAACCCATCATACATTTCCGAGCATTAAATCTATGAAGAGCAAAATGATTTAAATTTGCCTATTAAAAATACTTTATTTCTGTGGATTTTGGTCATTTTTAGTTTTCACAGATGTTGCTTAATGTAAACAATCAGCTGCAGATATAAAGAAAGAATCATTGTGGGCAAATGAGCTCCAAGAGCCTTTGCTCTTTAGAGGCAGAGTTATGCTATTGCACTTAGGATTATTGCACTTTAAGTGGGGAAAAGCTCATATGTAAGCAGTATCATCACTCTTTCCATGGTACTTCACTCACAAGTAAAATCAAAATTCCCAGTTTGCATGAAAATGATGCCAGCTAGATTTAGATTTATAGGATTAGTTTGTTTCCAGCTCAGACTTTCTGTACAAGGCCACTTGACAAAATATGGCACGATGGACTATTTATATTTAGATCTCCTGTATTCTGATGAAAGAACTTGAGTAGCCATGTGTTAGAAAATGAGTGTGAAAGCCCTCCAGCAATACCCTGTAACTTCTTGAAAGATAACAAACAAAGCACACACACAAACCAGCAACCAACCAACCTTTCTTCCCTGATCAGTATAGTGTTTTCCTTGTCTTTAAAGAATTTTGTGGGGACAATTCTTGCTATCATATTTCTTGTGTATTTTAGCCATTCTCTGTTTTTATTGTGTTTCTCATCATTTCAATTGTTTTGCCATTGAAACAAGGAGAAAAAAATGTACCTACTGTTATTTTAACTGGGATGTTGTAGGTGCAGTTTATTATATTGTACGAAATCTAAGATAGGGGTTGGATAACTGGGAATCAAAAGTCAGCTGCTGCTCAAATGTTAAGGTGCTGAAATTTCCATTAAATGCTTTATGTAATCATTAGCTAAATATAGAAATCTTCGAGTGTTTTCTTCCAGCAATTTGTCTACATATGTAATATGTGCTTATCTGAATGCCAAGGTAATTTTCTCTGTATGTTCTTCTTGGATGTTACATAGCAAAGGATAAACCATGTTTTATAAAAGTAAGCATGCAGTGATATCTGCCATTTTCTATTTAGGGATCTCACACAAGATGCAGTGGGCACAATATTCATGGTGGACTATCAGGTCGTGTAGTCCCACAGTGACAGTATATATTTGCATTATTAGATCCATTTGAATAATGACAGAACAAAGATAATCTGTATGGATTTATTTTCCCTTTGCAGCTGTGTAGATAAATTATTTCGTTATGAATTATCTTGCTACTTTAAGTGAAATATGTTTGGTAGAAATGAAGAGTAAGGATGCGTGATTATTCTCATACTTACTTCTGTGTTGATTGGCCCTCCTACCATTGTCTCAAAGGCCATCAACTGAAACAAAAATGGGATTTTCTGGTCACATTTATGCATTCCTCTGCTCTGCAGTCATCTGGATATGTGAAATTGTCCAGTTGGACAGCTGGAAAACCCAAGCATGGAAATGTTAAGTAGTTGTCCAAAGGTCTCCTTTGGAGCTCTGATCTGTGGCCCACCAGTAAACATCACACCTCAGGGATTCTTGCTGAATGCTGTCTTCTTTCTTAAATCCCCATGAAATAACTATATTTAATCTTTTGTCACTTTTTGCACTTTTTTAGGGGAATTTGGAGAAGTTTGCAGTGGGCGCCTGAAGCTGCCTTCTAAAAAGGAAATTTCAGTGGCTATCAAAACCCTGAAAGTTGGTTACACAGAGAAACAGAGGAGGGACTTCCTTGGAGAAGCAAGCATCATGGGACAGTTTGACCACCCTAACATCATTCGATTAGAGGGAGTCGTCACTAAAAGTAAGCTGTCAGAGGCACATCTGTTTTGTATGGGAAGTGTCACTGGAGGACCCCTTCCAACCTAAATTGTTCTGGGATTTGCTGGTCTTTCAGGAGCAAAAGCAAATAAAAAGCTGACTCATCCATGTTTATTCTCTGCAAACCCTTCCAGAAACGTTTATGCTCTAACCCTGTCAATATGTACCAGATAGCCTTTAAAAGAGATAACAGCAGAAACACATAGTTTGGCTTTTGCAGTGTATATTGTATTTCCTTAAAAGCAGGAAAAACATTACCCGTGTGAAAGCACCAGCTAACCCCGCACTGATGGATCCAATGAGGAATGGTATCGGAGGCAATTGCCTGCAGTGCAGCTGCAGGATCTTCACTGGCTTGCTGCTTGCGGGCTGCTGAGAACTTAGAAACCATGCCCTGGGTTGATGAGCTGGGAAAAACATGGGAATAAAAACAGTCTGCATAAAAAAAACCCAGAGAACGCATAGAAAAATAAGCGTTTCTGTAATGAACTGGCAGGTTTAATAAACTCCAGAGCTACAAATTGCTACAGAGTGGCCAAGAGGCACTCACTGATCATCTGTTACCAGTCACAGAGTCTAAGGGTTCCTAATTGCACTGAGCAATATGTTCTGCTTTCAACCAAGTCATTAGATGTTATCATTAGCACAAATTAATGAACAGCCTACCTGGCTCTGGCAACTGGTACCAGTAAATTAATGAGTAAATCCAAGCTTCTTCCTGCATGGTTTCCATGAAGGGAAAAGAATACTCCATGTTACTCTATGTGATATTCAGTACACATGGACGTACTGATGTCTGTATTCAGTGCGCATCAGTGCATACCAGTATGAGACATTTTAAAGATCCTGAACCTCCAGAATACCTCTTAGTAAAAATCTAAAGGTGAAATAAATGCAGAAGTAAATAAAAAATCTTGGGACCTTCCGATGCCGGTCGTAAAATTGATTTTATTTCTTTGATAATATATATATTTTCTTTACTGAGACATTTTCTATATCTGCCCCTGGTTGTTTCTGTTATGGGTGTAGGGGTTTTTTGTTAAAGCTTATTTTTGTCTATTTTTTATGATAACAAATCACCTTCTCATTTTGAGCCCCCAAAAAAGGAACTGAAACCTCCATCCACATGTGGCACCTGCCTGAAGAGTAACATATTTGAAGAACCCTCTCCAACTCTACTGTCATCTAGGTAACAGCAGGTTGTAACAGGCATTTCTGAGACATCAGTAGCCTCCTCTAAGCTGCCCATGCTCTTCTCCTCATGAGTAGGTGGTGGGATTGAGTGATGGTGATACTGCCTTGTTTAGGCAAATTCTGGCTCTCATGCTCTCATTGAGGCAAGATGTTTCCTAGCTCATCCTAGAGGACTCTGCTGGCAAAGCAGCTCCTTGCCATTTCAATGAACTGAGAACATTTACAGTTTAACTGGGTAGAAGTATACCAAATACCTTGTTGTTAAGTGGATGGTTTTACTGGGTTTAAGGAACTTTTATTTTAAATTGCATGAGTCAAGGTGTCAGGAGAACAGACAGGTATGAAAGTACTTGGTAGCTTACTGCAACAAATTATATTAAATTTAAAAAAAAACAACCCAAAACACAAGAATGTGTTTAAAAATAGCTAGTGAAAGGTATGTAGAAAAAACTATGTGTTATGAAGAGACATAATTACAATAATAATGCTCTAAGTGTGATTTATAAAAGTCTATTTTGCTGATTTAAATAACAAAGAATCATAGAATCACAGAACAGGGTTGGAAAGGACCTTCAGATCATCCAGTTCCAACCCCCCTGCCATGGGCAGGGACACCTCACACTAAACCATGGCACCCAAGGCCTCGTCCAACCTGGTCTTGAACACTGCCAGGGATGGAGCATTCACAACCTCCCTGGGCAACCCATTCCAGTGCTTCACCACCCTTACAGTAAAGAACTTCTTCCTTATATCCAATCTAAACTTCCCCTGTTTAAGTTTTAACCCATTACCCCTTGTCCTGTCACTACAGTCCCTAATGAAGAGTCCCTCCCCAGCATCCCTATAGGCCCCCTTCAGATACTGGAAGCTGCTATGAGGTCTCCACGCAGCCTTCTCTTCTCCAGGCTGAACAGCCCCAACTTCCTCAGCCTGTCTTCATACAGGAGGTGCTCCAGCCCCTGAGCATCCTTGTGGCCTCCTCTGGACTTGTTCCAACAGTTCCATGTCCTTTTGATGTTGAGGACACCAGAACTTCAGCTCAGGTCTCACAGTCACACAGACACACGCTTTGTACAGGCAGAATAAGATTTGCAGTCCCAAAATTACTTGACACTGAAGCATCAGCCTGTACACAGCTGAGCTAAAATCTGTTCTGTTACTTTTTTGTTGCACTATAGAAAATTATTTAATTGCTGTGCATGCAGAATTTGTGCATTGCTTTGAATGCGCATTACTAATTCTGTCTGTATTCTGTATAACTGACTATTAGTAAATTTGCTACTCAGCTATATTCACAGCAGACTGCTGTGTTTCAGGGGGTTGGGAGTGCCAGCTGCCTGTCACATTTAACTATGAGAGACTGAGCTCTGAATATTCCCAGCTGAAGTCAATAAAAGCCTCAGGGATACAGCACCCTCTCCAGATAGCTTGAGTATAGGAGGTGAGAAAACTGCTCTGAAACTATTTGTTTCTGCTTCTCTAGGTAAAATTATATGGCAGAGATGCAAGTGAAGATAATAATCTATTTTCTTTAACGTTCTGTTGGGTAATAGAAGAAGGTTGTGGGGGTTTTGTGTTTTTTAAACCAAACCAATATACTGTAATAACACATTAGGCAGTGTTCCTACTTTTTAATGGTAGTTATTGAATCACACTGAAAAGCATTAGTTTGTGTATAGTAAGTAGAGAGCCTGTGGAATATTTACTGGATCACTCTCAGTACAGGTAGTGCATGATAAGCAGGCAGTATGACCTTTTCTTCATTAACCACATTCTATTTGACAGATGGCCCTTAGCAATGATCTAGCTTTTCATACTAAGCAGGTCTTCTGAAGCAACTCCTTGTAACTGCAACTGGCACAATCCCTGTAATAGGGGTGTAGGAAGTTCTCAAGCTGGGATGGCTCTGGTTTGCCAGGAGACAAGCCACCGATAGCATGAAGGAGGTGCATCAGAAAGACTCCAGTCCTTTGCTTCGATGCAGGGTTGTTCCCCTCCTTCACGTTAGTTTCTGTTGTGTGTTTCCCTGTCACTACCCTGTTCTCCTCAGCATGCTGCAGGCAGTAGCCTTAATAACCAGCGTGCATGTTCTGCTTAGTTTACTAATAATTTACAGCAATTTGTAGCCTGTTAGTATAATAAATTTCAGCAACACTGTTGACACGAGTTGTTATCATGTATAAAGGCTGTGCTTTGATAAATGAATGCAGAATGGTCTTTTAAAAGCCCACCGTGTTGCTTCTGAGCATGTGCTTCCTATTACAGACACATTTCCAACTGAATGAGAGTGCAGTGCTGCACTTGGGGCTTCCCGAGTAGGAGCGAGCAAGGCAGGAAGATGCTCTCTTAATAAGTTGGAAGATGTATCTTCTTATTCTAGTTTTACTCATCTGATGTGTCATAAAATTCTCTGAGTTTATACATAAACCAAGCAACCATATCCTGTTTTCAAACTACGTGGATTTATCATAGGACGTTTTGGATAGCTTCATCAGTGCATTGCCCTGTGATTGAAAGATTCAGCAGCATTTTCTGTGCATTACCAGAAATGCCTTTGGGTTAATATTAGATGCACACTGTAAGTTAGGTATTTTTCCTTGCACTGAATATTTCTTGCTAACAAGAATAAGCAAGCAACAGATTTTTTTGTTTATTTTCATTTTACCTGTATCCTATTCTATATCATTCAAGTTTAATGTTTTGGATAGATTGTTCCTACTAGTCAATGGATGTCAGAGTCAATTACCCATCAGTGTGACTCTCACGATGTAACACATCGTTTGCACAGCAGAAAGAAGGTATTTTAACCTGTTAATCCACGCAAAGGACAAAGGATTTTCTTCTTGTTATATTGATGTTTATCTTCTAAGAATTTCTAGTTGGTAGAAGTTGTGTTTTCTGAAAAACAAACAAAAAAGTAGTTGTTACTGTTTACTTTGCTTTTTTAATGGCTTTCTTGCTTTGAGTTATACTGAGTACCTCTTTCAAGCATCATGCTGTTCAATTTTAAAAGCTAAAATGTCACCATGCCTGCTATACAATATGCAGGCCTTTGTCATGCTTTTATGGTCAGATGCCTTCCTGTACTGTATGTGAAATAATAATTCATCTTCTTAAATAACTTCATGCTTTTGCCCACCTTTCTCTCTACCACAGAGAGAAAATAAACAAAGCTTTAGAACGTATTATGAAATAATAAAATCCATGCGATGGTAAAATATTAGCAGGGCAATGACCTTTGTCTGGAAACTTCACCGTAATCACATTCATTTTTGCATTCATTTCTCTCCAACATGTCAGAGTTGCATATGAAATCTTGGTTATTGTTACAAAATACCTTAGGGCAGAAAGAATGCTTTCAAAACCTGATCTGAATCCGCATGGACAAGCTTTGAAAGATACCAGAAGCTTTCCAAGGATGCAGGGCTGTTTGTTCAGAGCTTGCCACTGCCCCACGGATGCAGCATGGTTGGCCCCCAGCTATGTTAGCAGGAGAGGACCAGGTTCATGTTGTCAGTGATGCCCGCAGAGGGAGGCAGGACTGCCTGCAAGGAGGGCTAACCTCCAGTACTGGAAGGTGGCCGTGTTACAGCTCTGCTTTTCTTTCCAGTACCCTGTGTTACTCTGATTCTGCACTTTCCCCATTTCTTTCCCCACCTCAACATTTTCTATGGCTTATGCTAGGAAAATACTGAAGCTTAATAGTTTATATGCATTATAAATACCTTCCTGAAGGAGAGCATTTTTTGCTATTGCCTCTATATATGCTTTTCATCTCTCCCTTATAGCAGTATCTGAGGAACATACTGGCTGTACCCACATGGTAGAGCACTGCTCCACAGTCCTTGCACCTCTGTGGAGAGCACCTCAAGAAAAACCACAGCTCCTGCCACAGCAAGTGCCCAGTTCCCTTCCAGAGGGAACCTTGGGGGCAATTGCGTGGCAGAATACACCAGCTTAATTGCACATATTCAACAGTTCTATGAAGGATTATATTCAATAGTGATGGATAAAACACTGTATCCTGAAAATGCAGGATGCTTCACTTGTTTCTTGACACTTGAGCTGCTAAAAATCCAATCGGTTGATGTCAGTAGAATCACAATTATGTTGTGCACAGAGCTGGGTTTGCCCATGCATCTTCTGCTTTCTTTCTCACTGTAAGATTAACCTTGGGATTTGGAAGATTTGGGCACATTTCTGTAATGCTTGGTCTTACAGATCCATATGTATTCATTTTGAATGTGTGACCACTGTGATCTACTTGCAGGTAAACCAGTTATGATTGTTACTGAGTATATGGAGAATGGTTCCTTGGACAGCTTCCTACGGGTAAGTGCAGTAGAATAGTAGGTGGTACAGAACCGGCCCTTGTCCTGGATCTGTTATGGATTCGTTGCCACTCTGCTCTGATCATCAGCTCTTGTTGCTTGATATTTCATTATTACCATTTGGTTTTGTGTGCTCAGAAAGCCAGGTAGGGATCTACTAGTCCATTTTGTCTGCTTGCAGTAAGTATTACATCAAAACAAAGAGAATTTCGGTGTTATTAGTATATCACATCTGTGAAAAACTAAACCAAAACATCATTCTGGCACACAAAAATGATAATTGTTTTTCTGAGGGCTGAAAAGCAGTTATGGTTATTGGTTGGCAATCAGTCTTACCAAATGACTTCAAAAATGAACAGATTTGTGGCAATTCTATCAGCAAACCAACAGTACTGATCAGAGAGCTGTTTCCTTCTATATGAAAAGTTTAGGGAATAACCCCATACCTGAGGGTGTTCAAAATGTTTTGCTAGAAAACTCTATTGGCCTGTTTTCTTTCCCCGACCTTAGACATCCTAATGCTGTGGTTGATTTATCTTTGTTTTCTGTCAAAGTTGGTAGCGTGCCTAAAAAAACGTGAACGCTCCCTGTGTCACCAAGATTTACTTGTTGCAAAACAAGAAGTGTAACAGAAATGAAATCCCATCTGAGGGGAAACACTAGTTTAATTTGAATTTGTTAGGGCAAACTCACTTGTGGCTGGGAGACTGCTTTGGTTCTGCCACGGTTGAATGACATTATCCCCCAAATTCATAACATCGAACTAGATGTTTAACCCCAAAAGGGGATATATTGTCAACCTTAGTTTCAGTATGTACTATATATGTTATGATGTCCACTGGAGCATGTAAAATACATATAAATAACGTGTCAGTATATCTGAATGAAATATATCTGTACTGAAATACATATATTTTGTTTAGGCTTAAAAAGCACTGAAGAAAGGGGAATGATTTCTGGCAGTACTAAACAGTCGTTCAGGTTGTTCATTTCAGTGTGGTTGTTTGGTTTGTTTGGTGTTTCATTTTTATACTGTTGTGTGGAAACAGATAAAAACCTTGTGACTCATATCACGGGCAACTCAGGCCACATAGCCCTCTTTATAAATGCCTTTCGAAGCGGCTTATTTTGCTTTTCCCATTGCCAGTGAAAGGCTATCCGAATGTCTAATTCCTTTCATGGTTAGAAGCCTTCTGATTTCTAGCTAAATCTTCTCCAGTGTCTATATAAATTCTCGTGCTGGCTCTAGTTAAAGGTTTCATAGCAGGGAACTGCTAAGAGTCTTTTATAATAATTAATTTCTTCATGAAAGGGAATTCTGAGAGGTTCTTTAAGCATCCTCTGTGCCATATATTTGTCTAATGCTTATAGTGCTAATATTGCCCCGAAGTGTATTAATCAAAAATTAAATTAGTTCAATCTGTCTTGCAGACTGACTTGTGTGAGCTCACCCCACATGGCAGAGCCAGCTCCCTTGTATTTAATAAAATCCTGGAAGAAGCAGCAGGAAAAGCTGGAGAGCTGCCCATGATGATACATTTACAGCACTGGGAAATTCATTTGAGAGCTGCACTAGGACGTACTGTTGTCCTGTCATCTGTGTGTCTATATATCAGTATCAAAGCTAGATGTTAACAAACAGCATCAGTGATAGCTGGAAGATTTAAAACATGTGGCTAGTAGACAATTAGAAATATATGCAGCATTTGGTTTCTAGGCTAAGCCCCAGTGTGTTTAAGTGACTTTTCCTGAAGTTGAGGAAAATTTCAAGGAATTAGTTTATATTTAATGGAATTTGAAAGCCCCTGAATCAGATCAGCCTTTGCTTTTGCTAAAAAATAACAAACCCAGCTTATGTAATAGAAAACTTTCATTAGTCCATTGGGTAATGCTGGGATTTTCACTAACAAATCCTGTGGCCTTTCAGGGAAGTTGGACATCTGTTTCTCTAATGTCCTGATGCTCCAGTCTCAGGAGCACGCACAGCTTAGATTTATGTCCTGCTTTCACACAGGTCCCAACTAGGAAATTAAAATTCTGATGACAGCAAGAACAGGAAAAATGAATTTTAATCTCAATTGAAAATCTGTCCCCTTCCCTCAGCTGACTGGGAGATTGTCTTCTGAAGGTCAAAGTAGTTCCACTTGTGACATTTAAATCACGGCCCCCGCCTCATGAGCTCTCCACTTGAGGAGCCTCCAGGGTCTCTATCAAGAATTCAGTGCAAGGAGGAGGAACGTGAGCAGTCTCTGAAATGACATTTCATATGTTTTCCAGAAACATGATGCCCAGTTCACGGTCATCCAGCTAGTAGGCATGCTTCGAGGGATCGCATCTGGCATGAAATACTTGTCAGATATGGGTTATGTCCATCGAGATTTAGCTGCTCGTAACATCCTCATCAATAGTAACTTGGTATGCAAAGTCTCAGATTTTGGTCTCTCTCGTGTACTAGAAGATGATCCAGAAGCTGCTTACACCACAAGGGTGAGTTTCTGTCTTTGTTTATCCTTTTAAAATTCCCATTGGTTGTGACAAGAGTTAGAAGTCTGAGGCAGTCCCTGAAGTTTTTACTCCGTGTTGCAGGGGCCATCCAGTTTCGCATGGCCAGAGATGTTCAATAAGCCATAACCATCACAGCTATTTTACAATTCATTTCTCAGAGAAGGTAGAAGGCAAAAAATGAGGTTTATTTTGTTAGATTATTTTTCTAAGAGAATACAAAATTCTTGGCTCTGTTTCTTTCTGCTGGCTATGGAAAGAAGCGAGTACCACAATTACGGTCTGAGTTGGTTTAGCCCACGGTCATGTAAGACTTTATGTGCGCTTTAAGCAGGTTTTGTTGCACTGCTGCTTTAGCTCCCAACCAGCAAAAGACAAATCCTACTCAGCAATACTTTTTTAATTTAAATTGGTTTTTTACCCTTTTGTGTTTTCTATTATGATGAGACATGTGTCTGATAGGAGCATACTGATGCCACTGTTCTGCAAGGGCGTTTCAGTTATACCTGCTGTTGTACCCCTAACTGAGAGAAAACTTGAGTAAACCAGGAAAAGAAATATTACTTAACAATGTCATAAACCTCCTGTGCTTTCTCCTTCTTATATCATATATACAAAGTGATACCCAGCTTTTGAAAAGGTTATGAGATCAAGGAGACTTATCTCTGTTTTGTCCTGAGATAGAGAAGCTTTTATCCCATAGGCAACTGCCCATAGTATAGGCTGCTGCTTGTTTCTTTTCTGAAGTTCATCCTGACTGAAAGCTACTTGGAAGCTACGGTGTTGGCTTAGAGCCTTATGAATGCCACAGCATCTTCTAATTACAGCTTTGCTGCACCTCTTGTTGTCATTTGAATAACACTTCTGTTTTACTGTAGAAACCTTGAAGGCATACATTCAGCTTTGTATGCATAGGTACTACACTGGCATGTCTGGTTGTTCACTTTAATCCTATTGCAAGTGGATTTTATTAACTTCAGAAAAAGTGGCATTAATATCCAGTTTCTTAGTCAAGTGTAGTTTGCATTGATGCTAGTAATTGTCTCATCCTCAGTGTACAAACCAGACTGGAGTAGAATGCATGGGCAAAATCTTAATGTGGGTTTTCTAGGGCTTCCTTCATTCCTGATCGCTGACAGAAGCAATCATTTAGTGTGGTAGTTTGCATACTGTCTTGCTCATGATTGAAATAAAATAACATAACAAATGAGTAAAGAAATCCTAGCTGTTTCTTTATACATTATATATACACAGATATTTATAGATACAGATTTATCAATCATACCTTCATAACTTAACCAGGCATAAAGACTCTATTCTTTACTTGACCTTTCAGTGCTTTCTTTGACCACTGATAAGCTTTGTCGTGTTGTTAGAAATATGCAGTATATACCAATTTAGAAAACTGTCTGCAGAGATCACTCGTGATTAATATAAAGGGACATTAGTAGGAGAAAACAGTTTTCATTCTCAGTATAGGTGTAGCATTAATAAGTAAATCATAACATAGTGCTAGAGATCCTCAAGAGAAAATTGCCTGTAGTTCAGCCAGAAGTGTATTGCTTTGTCAGATATACTTGCCTGCCCTCTTTTTAAAAGCTCCTGCGGAAGTAATGGGTGTACTGTCCTCAAGGTAAGCAGGTACTTATCTAGTCTTCTTCTTCAGGATGTACATGTGCAAGCTAAAGCAATTACTCTATGTCCTACCACCACTGTCCATAGGCATAGCTCCCCTCAAACTATATAGCACACAGCTTTATAAGGGAAGCATGTAAATGAAGTGTACATCAGCGACGCACACCCATGGGTGGCTAGGACAAGCCAGGATGCACAGCGTGTCAGTGTTTCCAGACAGCGTTATATGTGAATTTCCTATGGCCTAGTGCAGTGTTGAATTTTTTCTTTCAGCCACCTGTTTTCTAAGCCTACCTGCCTATTTACATGTAGAGAGTGGAATCAGATGGAAATAAACTGTTTTGTAAAGTGAAATCATCTGTGTTCAGTAAACTCCATCTGGCATTTATGGTGTACGTGCAAACTGCTGCAAGAAGATGCTCATATATTTAAAACCTCCAAATATAGCCTAGGACAAATCTCATTTTCTTCAGAAATAGTTGCTGCAAAAACCTCTGCCACATCTGGACTCTTAGAGAAGGACAAGGCTGTTTGCTATTCATTCTTTTGCTCAAGTTTCCTTTGAAGTGTATCTTCTCTACATGTATACAAAGGTAGCGTGTCCCTGGGATATGTTTGGTCCCCAGCTTAAAAAACTGGGGGCTATGAGTGTTAAACAGAGCTCCACTCCACTGGCAGAAAGCTGGGCAGTTCATTCTCCTCCTGCTTAGTCATATCACATCTCATATAACAGGACCATTTCCTAGGCTGCTTCTGGTTCATTTTGCAAGTACTAATTATATGACAAAAGCAAGACAAAAATAGTGCCACTTCTTAAAAATAATGGCATCGTCCAAAAACGTGTCGTGCCTTTAACACTAAAGGATGTCAACTGCTCAGTAAGATCTTTGAAAAGACCAAAAACATAAAAAACCCAAACTGTAACCACAATTCCAAACAGTCAAACAGCGAAGTGTGTGTTATGTTAATGGGCAGAGCCTGTTGCCAGCCCTCCACCTCTTCCCACTCCCAGTTATTCGTTTAGTGTCAGTGGTACCAGTGAAATTTGTAGTTAGCTGCAAAGATGAGTGATTTGTCCATTTAGCTTCCTTATTGTCTGCCTGTAAATGTCCAAGCCTGAGAACAATTCCATTCCTTTAATTCATAATTGCAATTTGGGATCGTTCTTCCCCCAAGAAGCCCAGTCAGCCCTTCAAGCTTTCGAAGCACACCACTGACTGAAGCTTTGTCTGAAGCTTTGCATAAAGGATATGAACATGTACCCTTTCTCATATCAATAATGTATGTATCCCTTTATATATCAATACATAATCTGTGTTATCTATGCTATTGTGCAAGAGCTCTGAAGGACAATGCAGAGATCACAGTTGCATATGTGAAATACAAGGAATCAGGAGTTCTAAGAAGACTTTGCTACCTGACAGGGTCATTTTATACCTCCTGAATTACTGTCACTGACTCGATACCACAAAGGGCTTTTGGCAGCCTGTGGCCTGCCTGCTTACAGAAGCAGAAGCCAGCCTGTGAATCAGGCTGATGGAGCGTTTGGAGGTTTTTTTGACTGAGCCTTTGTGCCGCAGGGAATGTGCTGTAATTATCTGCGTTCTCTGTACCTATTCACTTTTAATTGAGAGGCCAAGATTGTATTAAAATTGTCATTGTCAAATCGATCCGGTTTATTCTTATTATTTTTAGATGCCTATATGACAAGTGGGTGGACTAATGACACGTTATTAAGTGGAAGTAAATTTAAGCCATCACACACGTAGAGGGACTGTAATTATGTCTCTCAAAGACATAATATTTGGGTAATCAGTAGACGAACTTTGACTATTTAAGCACATAGATACATCAGTGATGTTCGTGGCATTTCAATGTAAAACACTGCCCAGTTACTATATTTGCATGGATAATTTCTCATTAAGTCTACATCACTATGCCTGTGCTTTGATGGCAAGTATTCTGGTAGGTGTCCCCACGTAATGGTGCCAGAGCAGGGAGGGCATGGCAAGGCACTGCTCCATTGTGTCCATAGGGAAGGGCGCAAGAGTCTTCTCTGTTAGACACACGTTATTGCAATTGGTGTTTGACAGAAATTTGCTGTGGTTTGTTCACTGCCTGTATATGCAAAACCATGGTAATACAGTCTCAGTGTATTGAAGGGTGTGTCAAAAAAAGGGAAACAAAACCCCACAAATTCTCTTGATAGAGAGGGAGAGAAACTGTATCCTCTTATCATCTACCACTCAAGGAGATCATTTTAAAGGTAAAACTTCCATTAATAAGGGGTGAACAAGTAGCATCAGGTCTCCTTCAGGTGCTTAAGAAGATAAGTCAGGCTCATCTCAACAACGTGTAACCATCTTGGTCTGTATCAGGGCAATATCTCCTGAACTAGCCTAAACCTTTTGCTAATGAATTAATGTCAGGCATTTACCTTCAGGTTTTCCTGCAAAAGTTCTTCTGATAATTCTGTTAGAATCCATTTTTCTTGTGTCTCCATTCCCTGGGTCTGTGGCTTAAGGTGCCTGTGGCAATCACCCTGTAACAGACTGTAAATCAAACTATTGGAATGGGTTATGAAGGCCTGGAAACGGCTTCCTTGCGCTGGAGTACCAGACATGTTGGAAATAAATTGAAGACTTCATTGACATGAAGTGAATTATGCTGAAAGGTCAGATACTGTAGGAGTCACAGCTCCATCTCGATCAGATAGAACTTTTGGCTACTACTAGCTTACTAGTTTCAAACCCCAGGAGTACTTCTTTGACCTAGGCTGCCTGGGATTTTAAGCTGCAATAACAAACTCCTAGAATTTCTAATACTAATGCTTTCTGCTCATATTCAGGCGGCTTATTTGGCTTCATGATGAGCATGCTCTTAAAGGGGCATCATGACAAAAATGTATCAAACCTGTATTTAAATAGTCAGTAAATATACTTCATATAGCTCATGTAGATTTCTCTTCATAAGCCTGTATCAAATAGATTTGGGCAAACCTTTTTCCTAGGCATATATATAATGATTTTTCGTTTAGTAAGTTTGTCTTACACGTTCACTCCTGATAGTAAATAGTATTAGTTTCAGATTTTCCAGTGAAGGATAAGCAACAAAAATAGGAGATAAAGAAGGTTAAATTGTATGAAAGCTTAATGGATGTACATATGTAAATTGAAACAAACAAACAGGCATGATTTCTTAGCACTGTCATCATAGCAGTTTGCCAAGTAGGTATTGTTAAACACGTTTTAAATATTGGGAGACTGGGGAAAGGAGGCAAAAACGCAAAATGATGAGTAAAGAAATAAGTATGAGAACTTAAATTTCCCACTCCAACTCTATGGGTTAGGGGAAAGTCTTTGATTTAAGTTCCGCAAAGGTAAATTAGGTAAGATATCTTTGATCCTGGCAAAAAATATTGCAAAGAATATACTGATTTCAGAAGAGATATGTGTTCAAATGAGATGTGTATTTCTTAGTGGAGAGGAGTGAAAAGGGATCTTCTAATGCTGAATGAGCATGGGGGTTTAGTTTCAAAATAGACTATTTGAATTAGCAAGCACTATAATTTCAAAGGTAATAGCAATAGAAAACCATGTCTTTAGACTGATACAGCTCTTCAGGTTTCCCGCATATATTGATATTTGGACATCTGCTAAAATACAGATGTTGCATAGCCCTTTGGGGGAATTGCTTTTGTGTTAAAATGCTTGTTTGTCGAAAAAATATTTACTAGAACTTTCCCTTTTTTTTTCTATCTTGCCCTTGAATTATTCAAAACCCAGGTCAACAGAGTCCCCTTTTAAATGCAAAGACAAGATTGACGTTTTTATGACAAATAGCGGAACAGAATGGCAAAATTATAGTTTCATACTCTATTAAGTGGCAGTTGATTTCTTTTTAGCTGTATTTTGATACTCTCATTTTATTCTCATTTATGGTAATGCTAGATGTATCTCTAGGCTTGTATAGAGTTACAGCTGAGACTTAGCAAAGAAAATTTATTTGCTTGTAATGGAATCTGGAGTCGATGTGCCTTCATCTTTCACTAAAATGAGCAAAGCCAGAAGAACTTGGTTTCGTTGAGTTTGTAATCTTCCCTGCCCTGCAATAAGCAGCACCAAAATGTTAGGAGGCTAATTAATGTCATTCTGTGTAAATGTGGGTCTGCGATTGTGTAAATGACTTTTTCCATGGGGCTATGAAGGCAAAGACCGTCTATTAGACGTGATATTTCCTGCCCTTGCCTAAAGTGCTCGTGACTTAGCCACAAGCAAACTTTTTCTGTGTGATACCTTGCAGTTATTTCTCTAGGGTTCAGCAAAAAGAGCTCCATTTTTGTATCTTAACATGTAACTAAAACAGTGAGCCTGAAGCCACCCACGGAAATTCAGGTTTTTTTAGAGAGTAATAGTCTAAAAACTCCAAAATGATATTTCTACGTTTCACAGAACCATACATTATGCTGATGCAAGAAAAACAACATAACTACTGCCTGCCTTGAGGGCTTTCTTATATGGCCTGAGTCAGGCCTGCCTGTGTTGCTTATATTTATTCTAATTTGTGCCATATTAGCCATGAAGTTGCAGATGCTTAGGCTTCAGTGTATTTAGGTTTCTAATTCACACTGATGTCTGCACTTCTGTTGTTGACCAAGCTAGTTAAGCCGAGCCTGGAGAAGAGAAGGCTGCATGGAGACCTCAGAGCAGCCTTCCAGTATCTGAAGGGGGCCTATAGGGATGCTGGGGATGGACTCTTCATTAGGGACTGCAGTGATAGGATAAGGGGTAACAGGTTAAAACTTAAACAGAGGAAGTTTAGACTGGATATAAGGAAGAAATTCTTTCCTGTTATGGTGGTGAGGCACTGGAATGGGTTGCCCAGGGAAGTTGTGAATGCTCCATCCCTGGCAGTGTTCAAGACCAGGCTGGATGAAGCCTTGGGTGAGATGGTTTAGTGTGAGGTGTCCCTGCCCATGGCAGGGGGGTTGGAACTGGATGATCTTAAGGTCCTTTCCGACCCTAACCATTCTATGATTCTATGAATATAGTGAGTGTATGGCTGCCATCAGCACAGGTACACTTTATGGAACAGTAGGCAAAACATTACTATCTATACATTTTATTACTTGTTGGTTATTCATTGGAAATAAGAGCACTCCCTTCCTACACAAGTTATTGTGAGGATTTTGCAGTCAAATATATTCACTCCAGAATTACCTGAAGTAACAAAGTATGCACCGCTGTCTTTTAGAATGCTTTCTCATGTGTGACTCTCAAATCAGAGTCTCAAAAACCTCTATCAAAAGCAGGCACCATGGGAAATTGTCTCTTTCATTCTCATCCTGCAGAAACTCAGCCTCAGGCTGCTTATGTGCATTTTACACCTCTGACCTGTGGCATCAAGTGGTGGCCATAATAAGAGATGTTCCCCTAACATTATTAACTGTAATGGTAGCTTTAATTATTTTCAAGTTTACGTGATTTAATGATGGCTTTTATTTCTTGTGACTAAAACACGTTCAAGACCACTTCCCCAGATGACATTTTGGGCTCTCTCTGTGCAGATGACCCCATCTGAATCTGTTTTTCTGTGACTGTCTCTGACAGCTTTGGAGTTGGATGTTTGCGTGTATGGTCACAGCCATTACCTTTTTCTGTGCATTTGGAGGGTTGGTGTTAGTGAAACAAAGCAACGTCATGATCCCTTATTTTCCTTGAATGTCTTAGAAAAACATGGTGAAACCATGCAGAGTCCACACCAAAAGGGAATTCACTTGAGTTACCCTACAAATAGCCAAATCCAACCCTCTGTGCTGTGCAAAAGGGTCTAGCTCTAAGCAGGGATCTCGTACTAGCTTTCTCATCCTTAATGCTGTGTGACTCTTACTAGTTTCCAACCATTTTATATCTGAAAATCAACCATATTTAACACAGCATTTATTATTATCTGTGCATATTATGCTACTCATATATGTGTACATATATCTATACATGTCCATTCACACAGTATGTATACTCTGTATTTATAGATATATCTATGGCTTCAGTGTGTTTTGCACTGTAACATGTTTTACTCTATAGGGTACAAGATGCTTTCTTGGCAATAGCATTTTCCAGCTTATGCTGTGTCATAAACCAATATAATGATAATTAAGAATCTCAGAGGTAAAACGAGCAATCGTGCAAAATTATATTCACTGTATTGAAGTGAAATGGACTTTTCTTTTCTTTTAGGGGGGCAAGATTCCTATCCGATGGACATCACCAGAAGCCATTGCATATCGGAAGTTCACATCCGCCAGTGATGCATGGAGCTATGGAATTGTTCTCTGGGAGGTGATGTCTTATGGAGAGAGACCGTACTGGGAGATGTCCAACCAGGATGTGAGTATATTGTTATCTGAGTGTTACGTTCTTCAAATACAGGATCAAGCTGTGAAAGGAAGCGAAGCATAATGAAACCAGGTGGCTCTGAGTTTTTGACGTTGACATTGAAGAAGATGTACAAATAACAATCTCCAGATCTCCCTGGTCAAGTAAAAGTTCTCATGAGCTTAACAAAAAGCCAAGATCTTTATAGCAGGGTATTTTGGACCTCTGAAGGAAACATCATAGAGAATTTCATAGAATCATAGAATAGTTAGGGTTGGAAAGGACCTTAAGATCATCTAGTTCCAACCCCCCCTGCCTTGGGGACATTCATCATGCTAGTGGTTTTCTGTAGGATGATTCCAGCAATTCCACTGCAGTGAGGTCATTACATTTTACATTCCTTAGCTTATTGTTAGAAAACCCTCCTAAATTTCTGTTGATCCCTTTCGGTTCCACTTGTATAATATTCTGTAGATGTTTTCTGTACATGTCAAATACACAGAATCAATTGTCCTTGGCGCTTGTGAAAATGAGAAGCAAAGCATCTCTAGTAAGAGTTTAATGAAACCAAAATACTTCTGGAAGTAATCAAGGGATAAAATAGAGAAGTAGAGTGATCTGATTAGGAGACTTTCAATACAGGCTTCTTTGCAACATTAGTAAACTGTCCAAGCCTGCAATCAAAATGATTAATGGATCTCTTCCAGTATTTTTGCAAGAAGCATAACATTTCCCCAAATAAGATTTTTATTGTATCTATTTTGGGATCTTTTTCTGTTGTGTTATTTATCCTAGATTTATTCCACAGGAGTTACTTATGAACTGAATTATCTGCAGTAGAGTCACTATCACAAATAGATTTTCCAAGGGGTTGGTATGTATTGTCACCAGTGCTACATTAAAAAAAGTCAGTAACACAGTTGTCAGACATTTTCTAAACTACTTTATGAGGAAAAAGAGAAGAAAACTTCCTTTCAAATGAGTACCTCTGAAACCCAAGTCTGCAAAAAAAACGTGTATTTCTTTTAGTTAGTCATGAATGTTCCTTTCCATTGGTTTTGGAGATTAAGAAAATGTGTTATATAAGCTGATACAAACAGAGTGCCTTTAATAATATTGTATTAAAATCAGAAACAGAAGGGTTAACCTGTTTATGTGCCTCTGCTTAGTGGCTGCTTAAACCGTGGCCCATTTTCCTGTCCCTGTTCTTATTTGGAATACTTTGTCCTGGTTTTGTATTAACCAATCCACACAAAAAGGAAAACATTACAGAATATGGCTTCATCACTGCTATGAAGCCTTTTAATACCACCTTTTTACTAGGGTGTAACAACTATTGATCAATCCTGCAGCATCTATCACACTGTGAATAAAACCCCAATGTACACAGTGATGCAGTCGATACTGTGAGAATATATACGATGCAATATTGCATCATTGTATTACAAAGCTTCATAACAATGTAAATTCTATGCTACCTTTTTTGTCAATCTATACAAATGATAGAAGGATTAGGCCTGCCCTGCGTAGTAGCGTACAGTTATCCTCATGGTTAAGTTTGAACAGCGTTTTCTGGCCCTGTGCGATAGTCCACAAGACCTCCTATCTATCAGTTCAGGGTGTCCCGTGAGAGGCTGAGCTGGTTTTCTGCCAAGTGCAGTGCCCACTGGTGAGTGTGGAAAGTGTGCGTTGCTAAGGGTGATCAGATGAGAGATATTCAAGACCTTTTGAAGTCTGGCATAGTTAAACAAGCACCCCACTAACTGTAGCTGCTGTTTATGGATGTAGTTCAATCAAGTGTGAGTTTTGAAGATCCTATCAAGACTCTCACCTTCTTCAAAGTCACACACTGTATCTTAACTCCCCTTTCTGTATGCCTAATTTACTGCCTGGTTTACTTTGCAGATAAACCAGAGGCATTACATGACAAGACAATTAGTGAATAAACCCATTTGTTTAAACACAGAATGTCCATGTTAAGGTGGCTCGCAGAACTGATAAAAACGAGTTGATTTAACTGCCTTTAAGTCTCCAAAAACTTTTATCCTTGTGCAGGTGATTAAGGCTGTTGATGAAGGGTACCGCTTGCCACCTCCTATGGACTGCCCAGCTGCCTTGTATCAGCTGATGCTGGACTGCTGGCAGAAAGACAGAAACAACAGACCCAAGTTTGAGCAGATTGTCAGCATCCTGGATAAGCTGATCCGTAATCCCAGCAGTCTGAAGATAATCACCAATGCGGCGGCAAGGTGACATATTAGATCTTACATTGCGCATAAATAAATGTCTTTGATTTCTTCGCCTTCCATAATTAGCATTTGTTCCCCCTCTTTTTCAACTTTTAACTGTAGCTGTTTGTAATCTTGAAAGCTAGAGAAAGCTTCCTGGCTATTGCTTTTGGAGGATTTTATACTGTTATTATTATTTTGCTATTATTTATTCTAATTGTGAAAAGCTGTTCTGCTAGGGTTATGAAACCCACCGTAAGACTGAGCAGAGGTTTGTGGGAAAAATGCAGATGGCAGATTTAGCCATTATAGAATCACAGAATGGTTTGGGTAGGAAGGGACCTTAAAAACCATCTAGTTCAAATCCCCCTGTCACAGGCAGGGACACCTTCCAGAGATGGGGCAGCCACAACTTCTCTGGGAAACCTGTTCCATTGTCTCATCACCCTCACAGTAATGAACTTCTTCCTTATGTTTAATCCCAGTCTACCATCTTTCAGTTTAAGGTCATTCGCCCTTGTCCTGTCACTACATGGCCTTACAAAAAGTCCTCCATCTTTCTTGTAGGCACCCTTTAGGTACTGGAAGGCTGCTAGATGATCTCACTGTCACTCATTACTCCCCAGTGACAGACAGTGGGATTTAGGGTCCAGGTGGTGGGCACACCAGCGTGAGTGTTGCAGTTGTTAGGAAAGCAGTTGTAGCAGTTCAGGGAATGTGTGATCCATGATCTCTCCATCTCACTCTTACCCTGTCAGTGCCTGTAGACCAACCCAGTCTATCCTTAAACTGTAGTATGACCAAGAATTACGTATGACAACGTGAGGGGTGCTGCGCAGTCCTATGCAGATTTAGAAACCCCTGATCTCCCCCATGTAACCATTGCTAAAACTGACTAATTTCAAACCTCAGACGTGTCTGTAAAGCTGCAGTACCCTCTTTGTGTCCCGCAGAGGGGCATGGCTGGCAGGTTATCTGCAGTGGGAGCCGGTGCCGTTGCTGGCCAGGGATGGAACACTGGAGGTCCAGCATTGGTTTCTGACAGACTGACAGAGAAAAATGAGGAGCCAGACTTAAAATGGGTTTGGATCTTGCTGTAGCCTTATGTGCAGAAACGTGTAACTGATACAAAAGGGCAGTGAGTCAGGGCAGCTCCTCGAGGAGACACACGGTCAGATCCCTGCCAGTATCCTTGTGCTGTCAGCAGCTGGAAAGGGACAGGCATTGCTGCAGAGGTAAAGCACTCTGCGACTCAGCCCGGAGGTCCCACGGGATTATGTTGGCTCAAACGTCTGCTCTCAGTTGTTATTTGAGGCTGTAGTACTCCCACAGCACCTCTCCTCGTACCTGTAATAAGCAATTAATCTAAATTATAGAGGTCCCAGCTCTCTTTTACCCATGTCTGTGGTGCTACTGGAAGAATGCTGAGGCTTTATGCCCACCATGTGCTTGTAGGTGTTCAGAATATACTTGGTCAGGAAAAAATGTTGAAGCTGACGATGTCTGTTGCAGAAACAAAGCCTGTCTCTTCTTACAGATTTTAGGACTGATGTTTGTTTAAAATAGTCACAGCACTGTTGTATCTTATTTAAGAACACATTGCTGGAGGTGCATAGGATATCCCTGTCCTGTGATACGTTACTGTTAACTGACTCCAACTGAAGGATCTCCGTGTGCTTGATTGTACATCTGATTCCAGGCCATAGCCCGGGCATGTTCTGTGCTAATACCTCATAGGAATACAGGAGGGAAGTAAAAGGCTTCAGTTCTGTATTTCCCTTTCAGTTTTCTATCCCCTCTGGCCACTCCATGGCATCTAATAATTTCTTGGTACCCGAGGGATTGCTTTTATCCTTATTGATCATCTCGTTGCAGACCATTCTACCTGCATGTGAACATTACATTGACAAAAGGGTTTTGTAACCTCAGCACAGCAAATGTTTCGTAATACCTTTCCTGGTGTAATGTTTCATCTCAAATTCACATGAAAATTCCTTTTCTATTCCTTATCAAGTACAGAATATGGCTGATTTCTTTCTTACCTGGCAAGATTCACTTTTTAATCAGGTGGCCACCTTAAGCTCTTGCTAACAAGACTTGCGCTGGTTATGGGCACATGGGTGTTTTGTGTCCTTTAGGCTGCCTGGAGTTATCTAGCTCTGCAAAAAGGCTGTAGGCATGGAACTCGATACACAAGAAATGGTGCAAGTCATGCAGTTCTCTAAAGCATAACCTCATGATATTTTTATTTGATTTATGTCTTGCTGTTCTTTCCTGTTTTCTGAGCATAACATTCATTTTCATAACAAGAGTCCTTGGGTTGTTTGGATATCTTTAGGGTGGAAGTGAGTTCATAGTTCTTCCAGTTTTGATCAAGCTCATTATTTTTCTTCTTGAGTTTATGACTTTTTTAGTCCACTGTGGATTAGTTCACATTTGTGAACGTTGTGTGCAGATACAAAGCAGATGGAAAGTTTTCTCAACTTGAGCAGGAGAGACAGAATCACTTCACCCACCTGCTAGCCAGTTGGTGAGGTTGTGGTCTGAAAGGGCTTATTAGTTGCTGTTTCATTTATGTGGGAAGAAAAAGGTAACCCAAGAGTCAAGCAACTGGAAATACTTTATATACACTACAAATCTTAAACATACTCCTAACATTTCATTTTCTTTGTTTCATTTTTTTTCCACTTATTTATATTTCTGTCTTTTTTTGCTTATCTGTATTTCTGATTCCCATCATATATATATATAAAATCAGCATTATATATGTATATAATGTATATCTATGATGGCTCTCTAGAATTACAATGTATAGGATCATTTTACATACGTGAGTTTTATTCTTACACAGCCATTTGAAAAAAAAAGATACTTAAAACACAGTGTATAATTAAAAATATATGTAAAGCATTTCTGTGTCCCAAAGTGAATTAAGCTCTTGGAGGATAGTGTGACCTTGAGATATGAGCATTGTGATATGGTATTCAGGCAACCCAAGTGTTATGGCAGCTTTCCTATTATTGCTGGGTATGTTCACATCTGTGATGTAGGTGTGACTAAAGTCACTTAGTCTTCATGAGCGTGCTATAAAATGGGAATAGTCGAGTTAATCCACAACATCGGCCAAGAAAAATTATTTTTTCAAAAATGAAAAATGTTTCTAATTCCAACACATGATTTTTTAGAAATTCTGGATTTCTGTGAGGTCTCCAATTGCTTTCAAAACTGACAAGGAATCCACATGAAAAAAAAAAAAAACAGCCTTCTTCTATGTTTGCTTTTGTTTCTGTATAACCTTTTGGTAATGTGAAAATCACTGGGGTGTTCTTTCTAACACTGCAAGCACATATTTAGGAAAGGAGGAAAGAATTATATGGCAAATAAGGGGAGAAAACTGGCTGAGAATTCAGGATTTTTCTTTATTAAGTGGTCTGTAACCCTTTATTTTGGTGTATATTTCTGGCTGTATTAATAGCTATATCTAAGTGCAAGGATTAGCTTCTTTGGGTCTTCACAGGTCCTTATTCTGCACTGTGAATTGGGAGGAGGGTCTCAGAGACAGCAGATTTTAATGGGACATTTATCATTCACTATTTTTATTCTCAGTTCATATCTAGCCCAAGCACTCGACATGGAGAAGTCTTTATCACGTCTTACTGCTTATGGTTCTCTAAAACTGCCTGATTCTTTTTGTCCACTTCTTAACAAAGATGCCACTAATGTGGTTTCAAACACATCTGTAAAACAGTTTTCCATTTGGATATGCAGCTATCATATGTTTTTCAAAATCTGTTAGCTCTCCTTTTATTTTGGAAGATGTTGAAACGCCATCGTTTCACAGGCAGCTGTGTTATTTGGGCTTAAAACTGTTATTTTGTTTAGCTAACGTTTCTGTGTCTCTGACAATTTACATTACCTTCCACACAGGAGGATTAATTAGCAAGTCTGTCCCAAATCTTTGAAGATGAAGGTGTTACTTACAGGCTAACCAGTAGCTGTTAATAGGATTCAGCATCTGTTTCTTCTGGCATGGCACTACCTTTAGTATGAAATACATGGAAAAGACAGAGCATGTTCAGCAAAGGCAGTAAGCTTCAGTAAAGCCAATTGGTTTCATAAACAGAGGCAGGACACTCTTGCACTTCATAGACACCTCCCTCTGCTCTCCAAGCACTGCTTGCAGCATCAGCCAGCCACAGCTTTTCAGTCAGTCCTTCAGTTTAAGATACTTCCAAAGAGTTAAAAACCTGATTCTATGCTCTAACGTATAGAAGCTTCTGAAGCAGAGCTTTCTTTTGTAATTTGTACTTTCAAGCATTCCTTTTAGTCCACTCGTCTGCTCTGGATAACACCATAAATGTTAAGTGTTGCAAAGGGTGGGATTTCTGAATGCACATACAAAGTCAAAAGCTGATTCAAAATATGTAACTATATTGGAAGGAAAAAGCATTATTTCTGGATTGTACTGCAGCACTGGTGGTAGATTTGGTTTCAGAGCTCTTTAATGTGTCAAAGTTCTCCATTTAAACCGTAAGTTCTACTGCTATTGCTATAGAAAACAAGAAAGGCTGGAAAAAAAACAAGAAAGTCGCTTATTTTCAGTAAAAGCATAGCTGAAATTCTTTTAATATAGGCCAGGAAATGTAGGGGCCCAGGGTCAGTTATTTTCCTGGTGAAAATAGGAAAGCGAAAATGGGCATGGATAATTCCTCGCATGTTCTTTCACGTGTTAGCAAGTTGTTTACAACCCTATCCTGATTTTCTTGAGTTGGATGTGGTGTTTGAATTATTCACTGGAGCAATTTCCTTGAGCGGTTTTGGGAGGACCTGTTGTTTGCAGGTAGTTAATTGTAAGTGTTCACCGCTCAGCATGTGCTTTGCTGCTCGTTATTGTGCTGCTCTCGATGGCGTCAGGTGTCATGCTTGCTCTCCAATGTCCAGAGGCATCATTTGCAATTGAAAATCTAAGTTTGCTTCTCACAAAGTTTGTGTCCACTTAAAATCTGATGATTCAGTGGAAA